TTTTTTGCCAAAGTGTCGAAAAAAAAATGTTTTCGAAAAATCAGCTTTTTTGTGTGCATGGAGTCTACCTACCATACGATTTGGCAAGGAATTATTTTCTGGTAGCATGATTCTACACATGATTACCTACCTACCTGACCCGAAAGCAGCTGAGCAACTTTTTGCAAGTGTTGAAAAAAATATTTTCGAAAAATCTGTTTTTATTCGGCGTGTATACAGGGTGATTCACATAAGAATCGACATAGAGCAGGGGCATGTAGGGGGTCCCAAAATATGGCAATTTAACGGAACTTACCTCTATATCAAGTTGCTTCCCTAAGGAAATATAGGCTTTGAAAGTGAAGTTACAAATTTTGAAAAAAATCAATATCTTCGTTATTCTTGAACTGAAAGCGACCAAATTTGGTACACTTTGTGGATGTATTTAGGGCGTTACTTGACAGTAACTAGAGTTTAATCGAAATTTGTGAAGGGGGTATACCGGGTGGCGCACCATTAATATTCAACATAATTTTGTTAACCCTCGATGGATTTCAAAAATGTTCACTTTGTTTTGTGGACAATATTCAATTCTAAAACTTTTCTTACCCTAGTAATTTTTCGAAAAACCTCATCTTTTTCATCAAAAACTCGAATAACTGAAAAAGCGCGCTCTAGGTGTGTTATTTAAAATCATCGAAAATAATTCAAAAGTTGGCTATGAAAATAAAAGTCAAACTTGACAATGTGGCAAGTGAGTTGTTCAATTAAGTAATTTTTGTTCGAGTGTTTTTAAAATGAACGGGACGTTTTCTTTTAACGAGCAAGTTGACATGCTGTCGTTAGTGCTATGCCTATATATAACTCTTTAGGGAAGTAACTTGGTGTAGAGGTAAGTTGCGTTAAATTGCCATATTTTGGGACCCCCTATGTCGGTTGTTATGTGAATCACCCTGTATAGTCTACCATACGATTTCGCAAGGAATTATTACATAGCATAATGAACACATAATTACCTATCTTCCTTACTCGAAAGCAGTCGTGCAGTTTTTTGCAAAATTATTCATAATAATATAGGTAAGGTAATGGAACCCATTTCTGACATACACCCAATAACTGACAGTTTCATGGAAAAAATCAGAAAATAGGGAAAATTTAGAAGTAACGGCAACGCTGGATACGTCTAGAGGTTATTTGAACTATTCTAGTGCTGTGGGTGGCACCACTGCCTTTGGTCATCAACATGTCACAAAACGCCAAATTTATTTCTGACGTGACCTTCGTCCTGTACCTTTTGAAGCGGTTTCCGTTAATGAAATTGTTAAGGATAACAAAATTGTATTTCACCTTTTAGTGATATAAATTGATGTGTCAAAGCGATTCAGGTAATTATTACTATCAATATAAACCTTAGAAATACAAATTTATCAATCTGTATTCATTGATTGAAGAATTTGAGGTTAAGAGAGGGGTGTCAGCTAAGGGTTACCTCATATCATCGAATGTCCATTAGCTGACATTAAGTGTCAGATAACGGTGTCATCCATTCCTGAATGGAAAATAATGAAGAATAGATTGAATGAATTCTTTTTCGATTCGAAACACTTCGTAGTCGAGATCTATCGAAATAAGTCGCTGTTCCAGTAGCTGACACCCCTGTCAGGTATTGGTTTTGACACTGTCAGGTAATGGTTATTTGATTGAGCAGCTACTATGGTCGATCGGTTTTGACTTTTTTCTTCCATTTAGAATCACAATGCCGAAGAATGGACCAAGAGCAACACTGAGGTACTCCCAAGACAATCTTCGTAATGCTCTCCAAGAGATTGATAGGGGAATGCCAATCGCAACAGCAAGCAAGCAATTTGGTGTTCCCAGAACAACGCTGCTGTATAAAAAAACTGGCAAATATCCGAGAGAATGTAGAAAAGGCCCATCTACAAATTTAACTGCTTTTGAGGAAGAGTCCTTGGTGAGATGGCTTTTTCACATCGCGGATCTGGGTTTCCCAGCAACAAAATTACAACTCATTGATTCGGTTGAGATGATATTCAAAGAGAATAAGAGAGCAAATAATTTCAATGCTGGAAGACCAGGTAAGAAATGGTATGCTTCATTCATGCGGAGACATCCGGAAATTAGTAATAGAGTCTCTCAAAATCTATCATCTGGGCGAGTAGCTGTGAATGAAGAGAAAATTCGTAATTGGTTCAAGGAAATTACAACTTACTTGGAAGAAAATAATCATATGGCCATTTCAGAAGACCCAACTCGTATATTCAATGCGGATGAGTCTGCCTTCTTTTTGTCACCTAAAGGTAGCACAGTATTGGTGAAGAAAGGGACATCTACGGTGTATAACTTCACTGCTAATAACGACAAGGAGTGCATGACAGCTTTATTAAATGCGAATGCAGCTGGTATGATCGCCCCTCCAATGGTTATTTACCAGTATGAAAGGGTACCTGCACACATAACCAATAAGATGCCTGCTAATTGGGCCATTGGTAAAAGTGAAAGTGGCTGGATGACTGGTCAAACTTTCTTTGAGTACATAGCCAATGTTTTTCTGCCATGGTTGAAAGAAAATAATATTGTGCTGCCAATTATTTTTTTTGTTGACGGTCATTCCAGTCACCTGACTCTTCCACTCAGCAATTTATGCACTGAAAATGGAATAATTCTAATCGCCTTATGTCCAAATTCGACGCACATTACTCAACCTATGGACGTGGCTGTCTTCCGTACCTTGAAAAGTGCTTGGAGGAATGCAGTTCACCAATGGAAAATTGATAATAATGGCTCTAAGGTGAAAAAAGAGGATTTTGCTCCAATACTGGAAAATGCAATATCATCGTCAGTTACTCCAGAAGTCCTTGCCAATGGATTCAAGTCGACTGGACTACATCCACTTGATCCAAATGCTATCAAATACAATAAATATTTTAAAGCAGATCATTCTCATCGTATTTCCAGAAGAGACATTTTGGAAAAGTCCACATCAAATGATAAAGTATCTTATCTGGAAAAATTTATCAATGGAGAGACATTGTTGGAATTTCAGGAGACGATCGGGAATCAGTGGAATGGTGATGTGAAGCACACATCTCTTTACTCTGTTTGGAAAGCCATGAAAAATGACAATGTAAAAGATGCCTCTAATTATAATAGCAACATTCCCCATGAGACCCAGCAAGCAGTGGAAAATCACGATTTTGAAAATAATATAGCTCCAGAACAGGTAGAAATCGAAACTCCAGCTGTAACAAACCCACAAGTCATCGGTCCTGGAGTCCATATCAATCAAGGACCCCAACCATCTACTAGCAATCATGTGGATAGCATAAATGTAAAAGATACCTCTACTAATACTAACAACATTCCCCATGTGACAGAGCAAGCAGTGGAAAATCACGATTTTGAAAATAATATAGCTCCAGAACAGGTAGAAATTGAAATTCCAGCTGTAACAAACCCACAACAAGATATCGGGCCTGAAGTCCATATCAATCAAGAGCCGCAACCATCTACTTCTAGCAATCATGCGGAAATACCATTTGGAAATGTTCCGACACCATTCAAAAAATGCCTGTTTTGGCCGAAGTCAGATCAGAAGGAAACAAAGAGAAGATCGAAAGAAAAGTTGCCAGCAGTCGCGGTATCAGCCAGATGGCAGGAATACCAACTGAAAAAACAAAAAATCAAGGAACAGAACGAAAGGGCTAAAGCAGATAGAAAAAGACAAAGAGAAATGAAACAAAAAATATCGAAAGAAAAAATAAAACAAGTCAAAAGAAAAGTTCTGTCATCATCGTCATCTGACTCAAGTAGAGAAGTCCAATTAGAATCTGAAGAAGAACTTTATTATGAAAATGCTGAACGTCCTAGTTCAATCACTGATCCTAGTACTCTTAGCGTTGGTGATTATGTTATTGTATCATATGATGTGGACTATTTTCCTGGAATTATCAAGAAAATAACGAAATCAAATGCATTAGTAAGTGTAATGCAAAAAAGTCTTGCAAACACCTGGAAGTGGCCTCAAAGGGAGGACAGTTTATGGTATGAATTCAAGGATATTCTGGAAGAGATTGAAGAACCTGCCAAGGCCAATGAGAGAGGAGCATTTCGTGTACCAGAGTTCCTCAAATATTCAGATTATATTTGAATTGTAATAAAATGAATGAATAAATGGAAAACTCTTCCATCTCTGCTATAGTGTCAGTTATTGGTTCATCTATTGGGTATACCGAAAATCGTGGATGTCAGTTATTGGGGTACATACAATCTCAAATATTAATTTTGAAAAAAAAATTGAAGAAAATAGCTTTTGAAGAAATATCATTCTACATCAATTAAAAACAGATAAAAATAACCTCAGAATAAACCTCTATCTCATATCCATCGAATTATCCAAATGATTAAATTTAATTGATTATTTTGTTCTTAAAGTGTCAGTTAATGGTTCCTCTACCTTATTTTGAAAAATGATTTGGTAAGGAATGATTGAATCGAGACCCAAAAGCAACTGTGCAGTGCTTTCACAATGTTTATTATTGTTTTCTTTGATAATAATGGGTTAGATATTCCCGCTGATTGATTTTTGTTCTTGTTAATATCAACATATCCGAGCTTAACTTAAAACATCGCATCATGGAACAGAAGCAAGTGAGGAATTTCGATATTCGATACCCAGAAGAGGGGAAACGCGTGCCACTGGTCAATCGGGAAAGTTCGGAAATTCTGGCAGCCAGCTTTGGCAGCCTACTTCACGTAGGTAAAAATTCTGGCTAGATGAAGAGGCGAAAAAACAGGAAGAATAAGAAAATAGAAGATAATAACCATGCTGTCCTTGCTTATTATTTACTTTTTTTTACCAGTTCATATTCATACATGGTGATAACTAGAGCACAGTAGCACAGTACTATAAATATAAACCCTGATGGTGATTTTTGAATTGGCATTGGTCAAATTTATCATTCTGATTTTATCTTTATAGTTCAAGAAAATGATAGCAAAGAATGTATAAAAATATCAGACTGTGCATTTCATTGTTCCCAAAAAACATTGGGCACATTTGTAGAGAGAACCATTTGTATGTACCTATACCTATACCCATTACAAACGAAATCAAAATCAAGTACCTATTTACTTACTTCTTCTCAAACGATTTTTTCAGGATACCAGTCTTCCATTTAGGTAGAAGGAAGAATAGCCAACATAGCAAAGAAAGAAATGAGGCGAATTTCTCAGAAATCCCCATTGAAAGAATAAGAAACTTTAGCATTATTGCTCATGTAGATCATGGAAAGAGTACACTAGCAGATCGTCTCTTGGAGTTCACAGGTGCTATTAAATCTGGTCAAAATCAAATTCTTGATAAGCTCCAGGTTGAGAGAGAAAGAGGTATCACAGTCAAGGCACAGACTGCTTCATTATTGTATAAATATAATGGAGAAGATTATTTGCTAAATCTGATTGATACTCCTGGTCATGTAGATTTCTCAAATGAGGTAAAAATACTAAAAGTTTCACTTATTTCAATACAATTTTTGATTTATGCAAACAATATTGAATCAAATAATTACTTCTGTTCACCCAATATTGCATGGAAAATCATGGAAAATGCAGGCTAAAATGACCATTTAAGGTGAATTTTACTCATGTGTCATGTGACCTATAATACCTATAAGAATAGAGCAGTTCAGCTACCATTGAGAGAGAAAAAAAATGTCTTCCCTATCTGTCCTTGTCTTCAGTGTTCCAACATGAAATAATGAAAATCTTATGTTGTCAACACTGGAAATGAGAAGAAATGGAGAAGAAGACCGTTCTAACCTTCTTTTATATTGAGGTTAATATGATATTCTTCTCCATTTTTTCCATTTCCAATGATGCCAACATAATATTTTCATTATTTTATGTTGGAACACTGATGACAAGGACAGATGGGGAAGACATTTTTTTTCTCTCTCAACGGTAGCTGAACTGCTCTATTAACAATTAAAAATTAAGGACTGATGGGTTCAGTAAAATTCTCGGTAAAATTCAATTGGATTTTTTCTGCAAATCTGGTAGTTAGATTCTTAATTCAATTGTTAATGGTTTGATTGGTTGAGTTTCCAGATTTGCTTGGAAATATGCCATTCAAATCCCAGTTTTTGTGTTACATTCTTCATAGAAGTGGGTTTTGCTCATTGAATGAATGATATTTGTCTGGTAGGCTGGAATTGTTTATTTTTGTTTCAATCAGTTACAACCTTTATAGCTCTACCTATTACCTAATCAAATGGGAGACACCAAGGGACTATATGCAACAGCAGTTCTCTCTACTTTTTCCAGTTGCTTAGGAGTTGAGGAGAAAAGCACCCACTACCCCACTACCCCTTCAGTTTCATCACCAGTTATGACTTTGAACAAACAAAATTCCACACAAAACATAGCCCATTATGTGTAGAAATTGCTTACAAAAGCTTTTTCCTGTTCTTAATCGATTCCAGAGATATTCACAAAAACGATAATTATCTTTCTAATTTCAACACCCTGTATCTCTGAAATGGTGCACTTCAGAGGGTAAGTTAATAACACTTCTTTTCATATTTTTGAAGGAGCTATCACATCCTGAAATCCTGCATATATATGATACACCCTGTATACTGATTTGAAGTAGTCTGCAAAGGCATTGGAAATATCCTCCTCAGAATCTATCATCTCATCTTCATAGACAAATCCATTGATGATTGAACCATCACCTCTTTTATTTTTCAAAAAATCCCAGAAGTATATTTCTTGGTTTCACTTCTCAATTCTCTGATCCTTTGCAGATAATGTGGATTATGTTTCTATCTTTTGCAAAGACGTTTCTTCAATTTTAATTCTCATTGGAGAACCAATATGGATATTCTTTATGTATTTTCTTTCATGTTGAAATCTGAAATCATGAAGATCTTTTGTATAAAGGGTTATAAGAATTGAGTACCTAGTGCATTTGTTTGGATTATTTGAGTTAATAGTATTCACCCAATCACACTAACCCAGCCTCGGACCCAGTAAATAGTATAACCTATGATAGTCACCTTTTTGTAATCATAATTATGAATAATCTTTTTATCAATTGGTGCATGTTGTTTTTTTTACAACTTAAGAGTGAGTAATATTAATATTGGTCAATACTACTACTACTTAGAGGACCGAAGTACCAGATTATTCACACAGGGCAGGAATAATTTTCCTATTGAGAAACCCTGTGCATTGAAAGCGACGTTGCCATACGCTTTGTATCGCGTTAACACCTCCTCCAAGGGAGTCCATTTTGCGGCCCGACCGAAGGGATTATCGTTTGCTACACGTGCCAAACTCGAGTAGGTGGGGCAACGACGTCCATGCGCAGTAGTTTCTCCATAGGAAAATTATTCTTGCCAGGCTAGCATCTGGGTGTTTCTCAAAAGTAGCTCGTCCCTATAACTTTTTTGTTTCTACAGATAAACAAATGAAATTCGGTGCGTGAGTATACCGGGTGACACAGAAGACATGTAGCAGCCTGTAGTTTTTTTATTTGAAGAGATAACATTTTGGAATTCACAGGGGGTATATAATAAATGGTAGCGCACTTTCAAACTTAAGGACAATTTTTTTCAACCACCTGTTTGACCGGAAGTGACCCCAACTTTTTTTTTTAATGTCACCCTGTACATTCAGTATATCTTTTTCGCCTTGAAATTCTCTATCCAACCATGTATTACAAAGTGGCATTTATTTCTCAATTCGCTGTTGAATTGCTTTTTATTCAAAAAGAATAAGTTGGCTGATACATGAATTCGATGATATATCGACACTTGGTAGGCTTTGAAATTTAAAGATCATTAGTAAATCGATATTATTCAAAATGTTTTGATATTCTGATCAATGTCTACAGGTTGTCAATAGCTTGTTTGAGTCAAGATGAAAATCTTCGAAAATAACTCATGATATTGAGGAATCTAAGATCTATCTATCTTTTATTTTCGCCATGTACCTATCACATGATCTTCCCATTTGGAATGATAAAACTAAAATGTTTCCTCTTATACGATGATCCACAGGGCTATCAGTCTATTTTTTCATAATTATTTCACTTAGTAGGCGGTGTACCTATACAAAATGTTTTTTTTATCGCGTGGTGCGCACGAAAGGGAATCCCTATAATGTTCGAAGAACATCAATAGAGACGGAAAATGTATTCAAGAAACGAAAAAGTCGATATGTTGTTGATATGCAATTTTAATCAACACACAAATGAAGAAGAAAAATTATTGATGCAATCGATTAACTGTCAAACACATAACACATTGCCACTTTTTGATATTCATCATCCTGAAATTTTCGTTTTCCAATTTTCAATCTAGAGTGCCATGAATGAGTTAACACCTTGGTTGAAACAGTTGATTTTGAATCAGGAAAAATAGTTTCTTTGAAGTTTTACTTTCCATTCGTTTCACAGGTTGATTGCTCATACAATATCGTAATTATGATATTAACTAATTTTTTCATCAAACAGAACAAGGGTGGCTCATTACCATATTTGATAAAAGTATTTTGTCAGGAACACGTTGATACCACATAATCGATATTTTGAATAAATATTCAGTATCATAATCACTCTAGATTGAAAATGGAAAAATGAAAATTTCAGAATGATAAATGTCAAAAAGTGGCAAATGGGGTGTCATTGTACTCACAATGTTATTCTCTATCGAAATGAGTAAAAATATACCGGGTGTCCCATTTGAAATGAGAAAATAGGGGTCATTTCGGGCAAAACCGGAAGTGACAGAAAACAATTGAATACGTCTAATAATGCACATCTATGAACTATACTTCCACACCAAATTTCATTTGTTTATCTGTAGAAACAAAAAAGGTATAGGGGTGAGCCACTTTCGAGAAATACCCGGTATAGAGAGCCACTGATTTCACGTACATTGAATTTCATTTATCATTCTATGACCTTCTGTGATCAAATCATATATTCTATTGGCACATGTCTTAAAAAATGAATTCCTTCAAAATATGTTCCGGGCAGACCAAGTTGGATACCTTTCATGGAAAAGTGAGAATGGAAAGTCCCATATTGAAACTAAATAGAAAGAAAGTGATGTCCACCAAGAGGATTAATTATGACAAACTCAATTACTCAAAGGTGGGGTTACAAGGTGTTTTTCAAAAATGTGGTATTTTGAAAAGTACCATAACTATTGTTATGCACTTCAGGGATATAAAGGGCTCCTTTATTCCCTATTTTTGGGAAAAAAAAGTGGTACTTTAAATCCCTAGGGATGGATGGTGGAAGCCACCAGATTCAAATTATCTGCATAAATGTATGTTGTTGAAATACATTATAATTTTTTCGCAAAACTTCTAAACGTTGGAAGCCACCAGATTATCTGCAAAAATGTATGTTGTTGAAATACATTTTTCTGATACCCTTCTACATTTATGATGAAGTTATAAAGAGTGTTTTCAGAGAGGGGGTCATGATTTTTTGGAGACAATTTCTTTTCTTGTATTCTTTCTGGTGAAAAAATGAGAGCATTTGATAAAGTGAAGAAAATTACATTAAAAAGGTACTCTTATCAAAATAGGAAAAATTGAACCGTTTTCGAGAATTTGAATTTTTATAGTCACATGAAACTACTCATTGTTAACAATATTTTAGGAGGCCATGACCAATTTCGTTCTTAATTTTGACATTTATGACATCAACATCGTTATTGTGGATTTTCTTGTATCTTTTTTTTGTTAGTAATATTATAACTGCGATTTTCAACTAGAATTTCAAGAAATGGCATGGCAAGTGTTTGGGATCACACGTTAAAAGGTGAGGCCCCCGTCATTCCTTGCTCGCACAAGACTCTCGAAGACTTCTGAGGGTTGCTCGTAAGGGGGCAACCGAATGACAGAGAACAATTTTAGAACAATTTTTAGAGAAGTTTCCCGTTCGACAGTTTCCAAATTCTAGAACAATTTTGAGGATTTTGCAAGAATCGCGTGAAAAAGAATGTTTCAAAACGTAAAAATAAAGATGGTGGCCGGCCAAGAAATTAGAGACTTCCTAAAATATTGTTACTGAAGAATTCATCTACAGATATCATGTCACTATTTTTTTGTATTTTGATAAGAGTGCCATTTTTATGTATTTTTTTCGCACTTATCGAATGCTTCTGTTTTTTCGCCAAAAAGAATACAAGGGAACAAGTTGTCTTCAAAAAATCATGACCCACCCTCTAAAAACACCGTTTATGAAAATATTAGAAATGTGAAAGTTTATCAGAAAAATGTATCTCATCAACATACATTTATGCAGGAAATTTCAATCTGGTGGCTTTTATCGTTTAGAAGTTATGCGGAAAAATTATTTTGATTTGATCAACTTTGGAAGAAAATTCCTCATTTTGGGCCATCAGTTTATTCATCAAACTATACTTATTTTTCAATGTACCATCAGCTCCAGAAAGCTCGGTACACATTTTTGACTAACCCTGTTTATGGATATGCCGTTTTGGCGATTGGATTTGTCATAAAAATTGATCCGACATTCCTTATGGTTTGAAAATAGGACATTCCCTACTTTTCCTTCAAAAGTGCCCAATAAGTGCCACCCTGTACATGATATTTTGATGAATTTCGTATATGAGAATGAAATAATTCCGTTATAGTTTTCTGATATTCGTGATGTAGTCAGTAGTCCATAGAATATTGAATCAAAGTCAATTCATGTTTTTTTCATAAGTAGGTACGTTTTGAATTCAAATATTGTGAAAATAATAGTGTTAGCGGGGTCAAGAAAAATTGAAATTTTTTTGGACGTGGAAAGAAATTCTGAATGTAAAAACTTAATCACGAATTTGCGATTAAAGGTCTATGAAAATAACAAGTTTCCATCGTTCAAGTTTATTGGGTGAAAGTATTAAAAAGTATTAAAAAGGAACAATCTCAGATAAATTATGAACATGAAAAAATGGCTATATGTACAGGGTGTTTCAGATTAAAATGTACATACGATGCCTGTAGATAGAGGACACTTCGATGATTCCAAATCACCCCCCATTGATGTGTATACCGTCTCATATAACTGAGATACAGGACGTTATCTTGATTTTGGCAAAATCTTCATCTGGTCATGACTATCGAAACACTTTGTATGATCTATTCTTACTTGGTATTATTATTCTACTTATATTAACCATCAAAACTGAATAAAAGGCGGAATCAGAATCCAGGTCCGTCTTGAGAAAAAACAGAAAACTTCTATAATGTCAAAAAAACACTCTGTATGGCAAAATTGTGTAGATCTATTTCGATATTTTGAAAGAGCGGGAAAAATTCAGAGAGTGACCCATTTCTAACTAGCGCGCATCCGATTTGACAAATTTTTTATTGTTATTTTTTGGAACACTAAGCTTCCTTTTGATGCATTTTTATTGAAATCCTTTTTCAAAATCCATTTTTTTTTTACATAAAAAGGTGAACTATCGATAGATTTGATCGTTTGGCATAATAACTTCTCTCTGGTTTTAGACATTCGTTGGGGCTCATTTTATTATTTAGTATTAATTCATGAGCTGCGGTAAAGTAGCCTGTTGGTGCTTGTATTGGGTTGTTACATTTTATAGTGTTTATAATTATTATTGGTAACGTTAAGGTTATTGTGTTATGGCAATATTATTGGTAACGTTAAGGTTATTGTGTTATGGCATATCACACTATAGTGATTATGAATTCGACATTATTTTGCACAGCATACTTTACCGCAGCTAATAAATAAAATGTGATAAACAAAATGAGTCCTCGAAAATTTCTAAAATCATTTGACAATTTATTTTGTCAAACGAAAATAGTTCACCTAATTTGACTCTAATGTTGAACTTTGAGAACTTGATATTTTTTGTATTGAAAATGGAGTTTGAATTACGAATTCAATAAGAATGCCTCGAAATGGAGCTGAATACCTATTTCAAAACATCGTAAAAAGTAGGCCACTCTATTAATTTATTTCCGCTTCTTCCAAATATAGAAACAGATTTACAAAATGTTGCCATACAAAGTGTTGTTTTTTGGATAAAGAAGTTTTCTGTTTTTCCTTCAGACGGACCTGGATTCTGATCTCGATTTTTATTTTGTTCTGATGTGTTATATGAGTGGAATATTCCTACCAAGTATGAATAGATTATTCAAAGTGGTTAATTATTACCAGATGAAGACTCTGCCAAAATAAAGATGACGTTCTGTATCTCAGTTATAAAAGACGGTAGACCCATCAATGGGGGGTGATTTGAAACCATTAATGTGTCCTCTATCTGCAAGTAACGTATGTACATTCAAGTCTGAAACACCCTGTAAATAAAGAAATACATTGAGAATTCGCATTCTCTTTGTGATGAAAATATCAATTCTTTCTCGGATTATTCAACAGAAAACAACTACTTTCCCGGCTATATTCCACGACGAACATTGAATTATATCTATTGAACACACACGATAAGAATTTGAAAACAAAATCTTCTGAAGTTGAGGATTTGCATTATGCTTCAGATTCGATTTAACGGTATTCAGATGACAATTGAAAAGTTAATGTTAACAGCTTCCGGCCGTTAACTGTTCCATAAGAACACGACACCCACCTTGTTCTTTCCTTGGAATCAAAATGTAATATTTTAGCGGGATTGCGAAAAGTCTTGAACGATACACGGCCGATACGCGAATAACGGATTCTTCAATTTAATCTGTTATTTGCTACATATCGGCCTTGTAACGTTAATAACTATAATTCCTAGATTCCTAGATTATTACTGCTCTGATTGGTTTCTCATTTGCACTTCCCCCTTTATAATCAGATCCTGATGGTCTCCGTTGAGGAACATCTTCTGGTAGGCCTTTGTAACTCCACCTCAGGGATATGTCCCACTCACCGAGAAAATCAATTCATGATTAATTTCTGAATTCCTCGATAACATTAACAAGGTTTTCTGGCAATTATTCATTATTGAGAAAAAGTGTCTTCCCTTTGTAGTCATGTTAACTATTTCTGTGGCATTTCAGGTTTCCAGGTCATTGTCTGCTTGTCAGGGTGTCATATTATTGGTTGATGCAAATGATGGAGTACAAGCTCAAACTGTAGCGAATTTTTACCTTGCATTTGGTAATGATTTGGTCATTATACCTGTTCTTAACAAAATTGATTTGAAAAATGCTGAACCTGAAAGAGTATGTAATCAATTGCAAACCTTGTTTGATATAAATCCCAATGATGTATTGAAGGTGAGTAGCTGGTGCATTGCCTTTATTAGTTTTGTGAACATAAAAAATGGTCTGAAACTTATTGGACTTTCCAAACTGTTTTCAAAATGCTAGATGTAGAAGTTGAAAACACAATAGCTATTTATGATCAATTATTTATGTATCAAGGAAGCAAATAAGGTATCCAAGGGAACGAGAGCACATATTAAACATTGTTGTCGAATATTCAATTAATATTCTCAAGTAATGGGGCTTATATGTTTTGATTATCCACCATGTTTCTTTTCAAAAGCTCATATATGTAGATTGCTTCAAAATGTACTGAATTTTCATAAAACTTTTGGCATCGATAGGTTACCAATAATATTACTCAATAAAATACATCCATTGATAAAACAATGTTTGTATTGGTATAGATACGTAGATGACGTTATACTATGCTTTAAAGGAACCAATAGACAATTAGACAGTTATGGAAATAGAAACAGAGAAGTCAATCATTTTCTTAGATTTGTCAATGAGTAAAATTAATGATAAACATGATTTTTCAATTTTCCATAAACTTTTCCACACTGATATCACTATTCATAATAATTCAACATATTCTTATCAACATAAAATTGCAGCATATAATAGTATGATACACAGGCTAGTGTTAATTTGATAGACAGTACTCTTTCTAAAAAACTTCATAATAAAGCTTTTCAAGAAGTTTATGCTGCCATCAAGAATAAAAATCAAAATTATAGAACTTCAACCTAAATTAGCTTCATTTATACATAAACAGGACTTGAAAGTAGCATGTAGAACAAATAGCATGTTGGGAAGGTTTATCAAAAATAATAAAGACAAAACTTCTAAATTCGAAAAATCAGGGGTATACAAACTCAACTGTGGATCTTATCCTAAGGTATATATCGGCCAGACAGGTCGTACGTTTAATCAGCGCATTCATGAACATAAGATGAATTTTTTGAAAAAGAAAACAAATTCAACATACGCCAACCATATATAGAAGAAAACCATAGTTTTGACGATAATTTCGAAATTTTACACGTAGAAAATGAAGGAATAAAACTCAATCATTTCGTATCATTAGAAATTAACAAACTAAAAAATTTTGACATTTTACTTGACGATCAATTAGACCTCAATAGTTCACCACTGTTGAATTTGTTTGCTTATCAACCCTTTCAAGTTAATCCGGTACACCGTATTTCAATGTAGATATTGTGCCTAATTTCCGAAGGTTTATCGAAGTAGGATATATAAAAGTTGAGCAAGCCAAGGTTGGTTTAGTTCATTGTACAACTATATCACCTGGCGAAGCTACTGTGTTAGCAAAACATGTTGTGTGTTTAAGAATTTTGTGTAAATCTTATCGTTTGTGAACTTTTTACATTTGCCATGGATTTCCATCAAGTAACGGCCGAGTCAATTAAAAAAAAAGTTCAGCGTCTCTGGTCGGGAGGGCCCTACAGCTAGTTACACTCTCTTGATCCAGGTTCACAAACACAATTGGGATTTTAACCTTCATTTTCCCGCGCTGTCATTCTGTCAAAAATGATATGTTTTTGACGCCAAGTGTGATGTGTCAAAATATTAATTTTGCCAGAACAACTCCGGAGATATGTTTCTACCATATTCGGTTGTATAAACGAATAATCATATGATAATCAGTCACATAATTGAATGAACAATTGTTATAACCTTCGATTCTACTACCAAATAATCACACTTGATGATCACGTGATATATGCCGTTAGATGGCACATTGCTTAGCATTAAAACACAATCGGTTGCAGGCTCGACTATAAAGGGCGCCGTACATTATGCTATTTACCAGCAAGTTCGATGCAATGCAATTTTGAATCGAACAATGCGCATGCGTCTATGATATTTCACGGCAAGTTTCGTAATAGAACCAGTCCTATTTTTCCTGCAATTTCAAGGCAAGTTTAGTAAAATTTTTAGTAATATTCATCGTAGCATCTTGATAAAATACAAATTTTCTCCATAACGTGGCCTGAAACACCAAAAAGTACATTGAAGGCTCAAAAAACCTGAAAATAGTGAATATGAACAAGAAAATATGACAGAAATATCTCAATGTACGGCGACTTGCAATAAATTGAGAAAATTGCGAGAAAATTGCATTGCCTCAAACTTGCCGAGAAATAGCATAATGTACGGCACCATTAAATAGACAGTTTTTCTTCCTTGGTACATATAAATAACTATCAATCTCTTAGATATCAGCAAAGCTGGGGTTGGGAATTGATGATAAATAACTATTTCAATCTTTTAGATATCAGCAAAGCTAGGATTGGGAATTGATGATGTCCTAAAAAGAATCGTAACAAATCTACCTAGTCCTGTAGCCGATAAAAACGCAAACTTTCGGGGATTATTATTCGACAGTTCTTATGATAGATACAGAGGTGCACTGAGTTTGATTTATGTGCAAGATGGGTCTATATCTATTGGAGATAATATTGCATCCTTCCACAGTAAAAAGGAGTATGAAGTCAAGACACTCTCCTTGTTGAGGCCAGATGAAGTTCCTGTTGATAAATTGTAGGTAATAAACTAAGATTGTATGGGGTGGCTGAAATTAGAGCCTCATTATTGGGATCTCGTAAACCTTAGGAGGTACAGGGTCCAGGGTCGGTTAAATTATTGTAGAGTTGCGCAATTTGATGCCTAGCAAAATTGGAAAATTGTGAATAATTTCGGAGATATTCGAAAAAACCTAAAGTTCATCTTTATTTTTTTATGAATTCGAAAACATTTGTCGAAATAAACGACACTTCATCATGGTCACTTTTTCCTTCCTACTTAGAATCCGACGTTTCGTCATCCAGAAACATTCATCAACATATTTTTTTGAATACAAATCTGGATTTTTTATTCCATCATTTTCTTCCTTCGGCTCGTCCAACAGATATGAACTATCACAAATTCCAATTTTCAAATGTTTCTTTTACAAACATTGTCAGTTTTGTATTGAATATTAAAAAAATACAGAAACTGTACATTTTTTTAGACAAAATATTCGAAAATCAGAATTTGTGATAGCTCCAGCTTTCAGGCTATCCAATGGTAAGAAAATATCAAATCAAGAATGCAGGTCCATATTTAAAAAAATAAGTTGATGGTTTCTGGAAGAAAACGAAACCGCGGATTGCAAATTTGAAAACACCAACTTGTAATAAAGAAAAATTGGCCATGATAAAGTGTCATACATTCCGATTAATTTCTTCAAATAGATTGAAAAAATAAAATGGAAACGGGTTTTAGTAAATTCGGTTTTTTTTTTCGAATATCTCCGAAAGTCTTCGGGATTTCACAAGTTTTAAAACGGTATTTTGTTTTTTGTTTTGTTTTCGAGATCCCAATGATGAAGCTCTAATACCAGTCACCCTGTAACCTCAAAGTTATAATCTTAGAAAAAATAATATTATAGATTATATAAGATTATAGAAGTAATGTTGGAAAAACGTCGCATACAACAATGAGATTTCAATCAATATGAGTTTTCATTAAGTAACGGCCAAGTCAGTAAAAGAGATTCGTTATGAAGTTGACAAAACTTGAAAATTGAAGAGGACTATAGAGAAACAAATGATTTATTGCATCTTCAATATCTCGAGAAATACATCATGTAAAACCTATTTTATCTGTCTCGATATTCTAACCATCACGTCTTTGCACGTATCGGAAATGAGAATTTGAGTTTTCGAAAATTGAAATAACATGTGTTGAATAATGATAAGCATCACTATAATACTAGACATACCTTTTTCTACACTTGAAACTAGACATGATGCACTGATTATGTATCATAAAAGCAAATCAATAGGTTAGAAGATGAGATCAGAATTTTCATGGTGATTTTGCAAATAGAAATGTGAAAGTTGCGGACACTTCAAAAATCGATTATACATATATGTTTATCAAATTCTCAAAATTTCAGATTTTGATATTGAGATATGAGATCCGATATATTGTTGAACAAATACGAATAATACATTGCATCTTCAATATCTCGAGAAGTAGATCATGTAAAACCTATTTTATTTCTCTCAATATTCTAAACGTCACGTCTTTGCACGTATCGAAAATGAGTATTTATGTTTTTGATCATTGAAACAACATATGTTGAGTAATGATAACCAGTACTTTAATATCAGACATGCCTTTGAAACAGGTATACTGGGACTCCCGCTAAATAATCGCTACGCTCGTCCTGAGAACAAAAGTATGCGTTTCTTTACTGGTTATATAAAAATAACTTTCTTCGCGAGAAGTCCTGTGTTCTAAAACTCTAAACACTTCAACAGTAAGCAATATATTCGATGTCCTCAACACATCATTACTCTCCATAACAATTCACGACTTAATATAGTAAAAACTCATAATATATTGTTACAAGATTCGATGATTTTGGCGACGGTTCTAGGAAGATTATGAGAACACCAGAATGTCTTAGGTCAAATATAAATATCGGCAGGTAACCTGATGGGATTAGTAATGTAAATCAGTTTGAGTGTGATTGGAGTTATCGGCGTGATTATTGTGATTTTGTTACGTGTATTGTAGACTGTAGTGTTTGTACATCTTTCTAATGACTGTTTGTAAAAGACCGAACCGGAGGTTCATCGTAACAATATTCATTCAGTGTTAAATCGTCGTTTTACTTGTTACAGAAAAAAATGCATTTATTATACACGGGAAATTATTAAATTTTAGCTCTCGGTTTTCTGTATCTTTCCTTGCATATAATCAACTTTTTTTTTCATTACTAAGCTAGCTAGTATCGCGGCTTTTGTCATCTATCACTGCTTCAACAATGTCATGTTCAAGGCCTTAGACTCTTCTCTCTAGTATATTCAATTGATTCATTTTACTTGAAATTTTGAAGAGTTGCAGGACAAATAGGGTTGTTGGGTTGCAACATGAGATCAAGCAAAGAAGCCCATATAGGAGACACCATTTACCATAAAAATACATCGGTCGAACCTTTATCGGGCTTCCACCCATCGAAACCAATGGTATTTGCAGGAATTTATCCTATGGACCAGTCCCAGCATGTGAATATAAGGAGTGCCATTGAAAAATTGACTTTGAATGACTCTGCTGTTAGTGTCGAGGTTGATACAAGGTAATAATGATGGAATAAAAATTCAAATAATCAGTGTCAATGTCTATAGATTGATATAATTATAGTTATTTATTTTGATATACATCCAACAGGCCGATTGCCTAACAACAGGAGTGTTTAACAAAAAAGAGATAATCGCTAATTATCATCTAGAAAAATAATCCCTTCCGAATGACATTAGAAACCCCTTTTTTCAAATGCTTGTAACGACAAGAAAATCTCGTCAACATGGGTAGATTGAAAATCATTAGAACATCTTCTACACATATTCGAGAGAAGGCAGAGTAATAGTCTTGCCGCAATTGGATGCTACTGAGATGTTTGTCTCTAGGCATCTTAGATGCTACCAAATGAATGGTAATATTTGTTGTAGACGAAATTCTCGGGAAATTGGAATCAACTGCTCATGGAAGTTTCCAGAATCTAGAGCATTGTTGATTAGTTTGTTTAGAAAAAGATTTGTGATCTCTACGTGTATTCAATGAATACATATCAGAACAATAAATAATTTTATGGACAGCTTTGAAGGCATCTACATATTTTATATGTAAGGCATTGAAAGAATGAAATTCCTTACAGTTTCTAATAAGAAAACCCAAATTACGAGTGGCCTGGCTAGAACAGTATTAATGTGATTCAGAAAATTGAATTTTTCGTCAAGAATAACTCCTAAAACTTTTCATTCAAAAACCGGTGATAGTTTTTGGTTAGACCTTAAATAAATTATCAAAAGTAAGAAAACATTTTCGCGGGAAAAGTCATTACCTTGCACTTCATCATTGTATACTCCAATCATTTAAAATGACTAAATCATCTTGTAATTTCTCACATTATCTAAAATTATTGATCTGAACTATAACATCAAATCATTGGCATATGCATAAAAGGGCTTTGGAGTTCAAAGAGTTACCATATGTCGATGACGAAGAAAAGGAACAAAAGTAGTTCCAATTTCGACCCTCATGGAACTCCTAATGTTGATAACAATGTGGAGGATTTGAAAACTGTGAGGGAATTTGTGCAAGTACTCTCTCCACTAGAAAACGAAGTACTTGATGAAGGTTTGCCTGAAAAACCGGAAACGGAAGACATAATTTTTCTAAAGTAGAAGTTGCTTAGTTCGGGCTCTAGACCGTCTGAAGTTACAATTTTCAAATCGTTTTTGCTTCATAACTTTGAAACGACTCATGAGACCGTACTCAAATTTGATACATTGGCAAATCTCTATTAGACAATAAAACCCATATCATAAATATAATATAATAAAATGTGGATTGCATAACTTGATAAATTCGATTACCACTATTGTTTCCACAAAATTTGAATTTAAGTGAGTTAAAGCATCAGCATTGAAACGATAAACAAGATATGTCATGAAAATTGTTCACATTTACATAATTATTCAAAGACTTATACGACAAAAAAAATTGATATAAGCAAATTCACCACAGTATAAAGTTTGCTAGACGGCTCTGGCTTATTTAGTACAAAAAAAACGACGAAAAAGAGCTCATTGCACATTTACATTTTTTTTGTCGTGAAAATCTTTGTATACGTGAAATTGATGAAAATTTTGAACAATTTTCATGAAACATCTGTGAATCGTTTCAATGTTGACTGATGCTCTCTAATATACTGAAATTCAAATTTCATAGAAACTATGAGAGTAATCGAATTTCATCAAGAGCGTGTTTTTTGTAGTTGACAAGTTACACAATCCAAATTCCATATTCAAACTCTTTTTTTCCATTGGCGTAGAAGTTTAAGATGTTCATTTACTGAAAAAATCAAGTTCTACGCCTATAATTTTTTTTTATTTCATAAATAGAATCATCACTCAAATAGCTTACAATTATTTTTTTTTAATTTTTCGTTCAGTTTCAAGGTGCTCAAATCGACAATAATGACACGGTAATTTTCAAATGGCTAATTTACCGCGAGTAAAAACTGACGTCACGATTTCAGAAGTAGGGGTAGACCATAGCTCAGTTGCCATGTGTTGAAATACAATTGGGAACTTCAGAAATATTAGTTATTCAATGATTCATAAATCCTCAATTTGTGTATGGGTTATATTCCTAATTAGACATGAAAAATCAATTGTCTCAAAATATGTCCTTATCTGTTGTGGCTTATTTCTTATATTACATTTTTGTTGATAATAATATTATTATATTAATTCACACTACAGGGCATTTGAGAGTAAACGTGACAACACGGTATCACGAATTGTCGGCGGTGCCTTGTCTGTTCTCAGCATTCAGCACATTGTTGCCAAGTCTTCAACATCAACATGATATTTTGTTATGGAGTATAAGAGATATTCAGTCATGCTGATTGCTCTGAAAAGTAAAGAATGAACTATTATATCATGACTTCCTTATATTATGTTTCATCTCCCGTCCTGTTTAATTCAACGACAGGACTCTAATATTGGAAATTGAGGATTATTTGATCAATAACGAAACAGCATAAAAACTGACGTTACCATTTATTCGACGTATTGCCGAATGGCGGCCATGACGGTATGTTTGAAATGAGCTCTGAATGTCAACAATTTTTAACAACGCATAGACTTATTATTTACATAAAAAAATCGTGAGAAGTGTTGCAAACATTAATGTAGTTCCCTGACGACACGGTGGGGTAATTGAATGCCAATGATTCATTATCAGTCCACTCGCCAACTATCATTATTATAGTGTTGATTTCATTGCACAATAAAGCTTTGCTAACACACGAAATTTGAGTGAAATCTCATGAGCCGTTTCAAAATTATGTGGCAAAACCGATTAAAACATTGTAACTTCAGAGCCCAAACTAAGCAACTTTGTACTGGGGTAAGTTTACTTGTATCGAATTGTTTGGGTCTGAGGTATATGTAGACGTTTTTTGTAAAGACCTTATATTATTAGCTTGTGATTTTATTATGAATAGCTGAATTTTCAAGCCCAGCTCTCGGCCAAGGTTGGAGGTTAGGTTTCCTAGGCCTCCTGCATCTTGAAGTGTTCACTCAAAGACTACAGCAAGAATATAGTATGGACCCGATTATTACGGCACCATCAGTTACGTACAAGATCAAATTAAAACCAACTAAACAGAATATGAAAGATGACAGCAACGTTATTCTTATTAATAATCCAGCAAATTTTCCCGATCATCTTCAAATTGAGGAGTGTTTCGAACCAATGATAATAGGTGAGATATATACATTGTAAATTCATTGTTTGTAGGTTATAGGTAGACGTCTTTAAATAGAATTAATCTGTAGTAGAAGTGGATTGATTGATTGCCAAAGGGTGAAAAACTCAAAATCATCTCATCAAAAAATCAAAAATGTTCAGTTTAATTAAACACACTTTACAACACTTGATAAACTTAACAATTGGAAAACCAGCATCGAGACCAGCATACTCAAGAACCTGACATCTGATTGAACATATTATTAGACAGTTCTGAGATGTTTATTTCCAGTGGATTTTTAGACGATTTTTGGAGATACCATCAGAATTTTATACTCTTATTCATGAAGACCCATTTTTCGCGAAAACTGTTCACTTTAGAGCATTGAGACAAGAGGACGTTTTTGTGTGGAAGATATTGGCGCTTCAGAATCTAGTTTGAAAATTACAATTTCTCCAGTGGCATAAATGTTTGGGGGGTTAAACCCTTACGAGGCGTTGAATTCTCCTCCACTGACGTGTCCAAGGAAATTGATCAAGAGCCCTAAAAGTAGTCATTATTGATGATGAAGTGTGTACGAAGGCTTAACTCCGTAGCTCAAACGGTCCCTAAGATAGTAGCAAAAAACAGATTTTTTTTTGTATTTTTTTGACGCCCTGTATCTTGAAAACGGAAGCCCGGAGAAAAATTTCGAAAGGGAAAAAATGTTTATTTTTTCATGAGGAATCTATTTGTTAACACCCTGTATATTATTATAAGTGATGTTTCAATTTTCTTTATGTTACACTATCTAAACTTGTTATAATAGTAATTATATACCAAGGTAGAGAAGATATGTCTTCAATCAGAGCTTACTTGAGTCACTTAGGAAATAAGAAAGGGATGCGAAGATTGCCACTGTACTTCAGACATCCCCATTCCAAACAATGGGCATGTTTCAGTCAGATTTTTATTTCATTATTTTGAAGTTCTAGTCCAAACCTGTTCAATTGTTACAAACCGTTGTCTGCTCAGAGCTCTGTACATTCTTTAAATAATTATTGAAACTTCACAATTTTCATGACATGAAAAACGCGGGACAGCGTGTGACGTCATATACCGCGACCAATCCATTGCAATTATATCTCATGTATTGAGTATATTTCAGTTCACTCCTACTGTGGAAGTACATTCTTATTTCTATATAGAATGTGCCATGTGAAAATATTTTTATTGGTGTTTGAGCCATAAACCACTAATAGTGCTTATCGGTATGTCACGACATCGAGAGCTAGCGTTTTTGAGAGGTGATTATTTTGATTCGGAAAAAAAAATTTGTGATCATTTGAATAATGAATCGACTAGCATGTACAACCGGGGTTTGGTGTGTTTTCAATATCGTCGGAATCACTCGTCAGTTATATGCATTTCACCAGAAAGCCCCAACTCATTTCTAATTAGTCCACAAAGTGACTTTGGAATAATAACTGATACCGTGACATGATTGAAATCCGCGCTATTTGTACGGAGGTCTTGTCCTTCATTTCATTCCTATTTTTCAATAGTACCATTCGATATAGCATAGGAAGAGTAAACTAAGTTTGACTTTTGATCGAAATGAGTAAAGGATATTCCACTCGACATATGCAGAATAATTAATTCATGAGGAGACTAACATAGCCATATGGTGAATAGGGGAAATCAAGACGAGTTGATGTATATAATTATATGAAAATTTTTTTGGCCTTCCATAACGAAGATACAGGGTATTATGTGAAATTGCCATATAACTTTGATGGCCGATATTTCAGATATGATTGATAGCAATTGGCTGAAATTTGGCAGCGACGTTTATTTATTTAAACTATTCAAGATGGCATATTATGAAGAAAAAAAAACAAATCCGCACTTGGGATTTTTTTTTTAATCTTATGTCAAACAATTTCGCTTCGAGATCAATTTTCTCGAAAAAAATTATCAGATTCAGAAAGATCAGACAAAATGCCATAGGAACTGCTGTTCACTTTGCACGGCACACTTTTTCCGATTTAATGAAAAAATATGGAACAAAAACGTTCCAGTAAATTTTCAATGTCGACGTGGATGATAACTCTTAACTTACAACTGGATTCGTGTGACTTGATTTTTCTTACATTTTTGATGAATAGAAATTCACAAAAGAGAGTACCTAGTTCTGATTTTTTGATAATTTAAAATGTTAGTTTTTGACCGAAATTCTAGACAGATATGATTAGTCGTGACTCTATTTTATAAATTTGTTATGAAGTAGGCCCTGTTTCTATTTTGTGATATGAAGATGGCGGATCCAATATGGCGGACGAGTTCTGTAACTATGATCCGATTCCATTCAAAATTTGTATCTGGAGGATTTTGGGGTCGGAGATTATAATTCTTTCATCAAAATTAGGAAATTAAAGATGGAGGATCCAATATGGCGGACGAGTTTTGTAATTATGATCCGATTCTTTTCCAAATCTGTATCTGGGGGTTTTTCTTGGTCGGAGATTATGATTTTATTCTTTAAAATTGAGAAATTCAAGATGGCGGATCCAATATGATGAAAGAGCTTTGTAATGAATAGTAGTTTGAAAAACTATAATGAAACACGCTTTTATAGATAGCCAAACTCAAGGCCAAACTGAATAGAAGTAGAAAATTGATAGTATAGTTCAAAAAACGAGATAGATTGTCGAACTAAAAAGAAGTAGAAAATAAAAATAGTAGATTGAAATAATAATGAAACACGATTTCATGGATATCCAAACTGAAGAGAAGTTCAAAACAAAATAATGAAAGTGTGTTGATGAATATTCAACTAAAAAAATATTTTCTAGAAGAAAATGTATATAGCAAAACAACGTGTGCCAGGTATCAGCATCAGCTATTGTAATAAATAGTAGTTTGAAAAACTAACGAAACACGTTTTTATAGATAGCCAAACTAAAGAGAAGTGAGTAGTAAATAAATGAAAAAATGAAGAGATATAGAGTGCCGAACTAAAAAGAAGTAGAGAATAAGTAGAATAGTTTGAAAAACTAAAGAATCCCGTTTTCATGGATAGCCGAACTGAAAAGAAGTATAAATAAAATAATGAAAGATCTTTGATAAATATTTATGTAAAAACATTTTTTCTAGAAATAATGTTATGGCAAAACAACGTTTGCCGGATCAACTAGTCTAATATATAAAATTCTCCTGTCCCGGTCACGGTGTTAGTGGTCGAACTCCTCCGAAACGGCTCGACCGATTCGTATGAAATTTTTTGTGCGTATTCGGTAGGTATGAGAATCGGTCGTAATCTATTTTTCAAATCTAAAATTCAAGATGGCGGATCCAATATGGCGGACGAGTTCTGTAACTATTATCCGATTCCATTCAAAATTTGTATCTGGAGGATTTTGGGGTCGGAGATTATGATTTTATTCTCTGAATCAGGAAATTCAAGATGGATCCAATATGGCGAGAGAGCTTTGTAATAAATAGTAGTTTGAAGAACTATAATTGAACACGCTTTTATGGATAGCCAAACTGAATAGAAGTAGAAAATAAAAATAGTAGTTTGAAATACTAATGAAACACGATTTTATGGATAGCCAAACTAAAAAGAAGTAGAAAACACAATAGTAAAAGTGTGTTGATGAATACTTGACTGAAAAAATATTTTCTAGAAATAAATGTATATAGCAAAACAACGTTTGCCGGTAATCAGCTATTGCAATAAATAGTTGTTTGAAAAACTAATGAAACACATTTTTATATAAAGAATTTTATGGATAGCCAAACTAAAAAGAAGTATAAATAAAATATTAGGAGTTTATTGATTAATATTCATATAACATTTTTTTCTAGAAATAATTTGAATGGCAAACGTTTGCCGGGTCAGCTAGTATTTATCTAAAATTTCGATGAAAAAATAACGTTTTTCATCCTAAACTACTCTTCTCTCAGTTTTCATCCTACAAAAATGTACAAAAAATCAATTTACATGAACCCAGTTGAAAGTAAGAGTTATCAGCCAGGTCGTAATTGAAAATTTATTCGAGAGACTTTGTTTCATATTTTGTTATTGAACCGGTGAATGTGTGCAGTGTAAATTGAAGAACAGTTCTTATGGCAATTTGTCTGATCTTTCTGAATGCCTCAAAGTTTAATTCCACTGTTCCAATGTTTTAATGGTTCATTATCATGATTTAATTGAATCATAATAAACAATTCGGGTTTTATGCAGTGAATTACAGGGTTTCCCATTCCATATACTTCATTACATTGTATCATACAAACGATTGAGATATAGTGTTTGAACTCATAATATATTTTCATGATTAGCTTCAAGAAATTTTCAATTCAATGTACAATATAGCTATGTAATATAGATTTCGAAAATATTATATTTTTCCAGTGAATAATACACTATTTTTTTCTGTGACGGGAGAAATGACGATTTGAAATCGAAAAATTATTACAATATATTGAAATCAGAAAATCATCGATTTGAAATTGTTAAAAAATAGGCTGTTGTATTTATAGCGATAATTAGACCTACGTTGCTAAGGAAACCTTTTGAAGCTATCAAATATCTGTCAATTTGATTCTGTGATTTGATTTATAAATTGCGAACTTGGTGGTATTTTAGTAATTTACGAAACCGCGTAGGTAATCAAGATTTATTTAATGAAAGATGAAAAAGACATGTAGAGTTCTCTCTCGGAGATAGTGTTATTGGCTTATTTTTCGGAAATAACACAACAACATGAGCCATCAAGTGTAGATGTATCCGAGAAAAACTACTATTTTTCTTTTTTTTTTTAAGATAAAAGGACTTACAGTTCTTTCTCGTAAACGGTGTTTTTGCTTATATTTGTGATATACATCCGGGAAAAAAAGTACTCACTTTTTTCCCGTAATTTATGAAAAGTGACATTTCATAACATGTCAACAGATATGAAATTTCAAACTTTTTTCCCGTCACAAAACAATTTTTTTTGTACATATACAATAGTGTTACCATTAAGTATATTCATGTCATGAAAGGAAAAAAATGATTATGTACTTTTGTATTATTCGTTCAAGGAACAATTATTACCCCAGACAAATACCTAGGACAGATAATCTCCCTCTGCATGGAACGCAGAGGTGTTCAGAAAAGTGCAAACAACATAGACAATGAAAGAGTGATACTGCAATATGAGTTGCCTCTCTGTGAGGTAGTTTTGGACTTTCATGATGCTCTGAAAACCATCTCGTCAGGGTATGCTAGTTTCGACTACGAAGATAACGGCTATCAGAGCAGTAATTTAGTAAAGGTATTATTATTTTTCAAGTATTAGTGTTTGGAGGGAAAGGATATATTCACATATAATTTTCCTGAAATTACATTTCAGCAGCTTAAAACAGTTCATAGAGTTGTGATTCGTTACAGAAGATACCATTGTTTGATAATTTTGAATTGACCCGACCGTTACCTGATGAAAACCCATAGTAAATGTAAAAAAACTCTACAAACGATGTTTCCCACAAGAGTTCTAAAAACACAATTTTTGCTACCACAGAAGCTTTTGAAAGTGAATATTCGTACAATAAAATAACCTATCATTGATTTGCCAAACTTATACAGGGTGGGGCATTAGTGCGTCGGAGCTCGATTGCTCGAGTTCTATGATAGCTAGAAACTCGATTCAAATACGAATGTGAATTGAGACAACAAGGTCCATAACTAGAAATTATTGCCGCATATACAGGGGGCTCCGGAAAAAATCGAGAGGCTCAGGATCACTTCGACGATCGAGCTCCGACGCACTATTGCCCCACCCTGTATAGTGTGTACGATTTCAACCCGCAACACGCACCCTTCTAATTTGGAACCTGTCAACCGATTCACAAAAAGAAGTTTAAATAACCGGTGAAGTAGTCATTCAATGGAGGAACATATCGAATACTTGGATACAAAGTTGCATCATTGTAACTTCTACAGAAAGATCTTTCTAGGTCAACCAGAAATCAATAATCCTCAAGTTGAGTTTCACCATTTTGAGAACTCAAGTAAACCGTTTTTCACACTCTTCACCACGCAGTAGCTTCAAATCATCACGAATGTTTTGATTAAACAGAAAAATTCGTCCCATTCTGTATAAAACATAATCAGTGAAAAGCCGGTTACGTATGGAAAGGTGCATCAGTATGAGTTTATTCACCTACCCAAAAATCATTGATACCATGGCAACCGTTTGAAAGTTATACATGAAATTCTTTTTTTTTAAATTGAACTTTCAAGGTCAATAACTCGGTAACCAAGCGCGTTAGACATATTTTTTATATGAAGTACTAACATAATTTTGACTCACTCTATCATCCCTATCATTCACGACATGACCTTCTGGGCACCTTGTATATATACAGGGTGTCCGGAGATGAAACCGACAAAACTTGTGGTTTATAGGGACTGCCAATATCATTGCAAAATGTCATATACGAAGGTCCAAAACCATTTCTGTATTTCGACAAAAAATGCAATCTGTCATATTAAATACAGGGATTACCCGAAATTACACCCACAAAGATAATAGCAAACATATGCATTTTTAATTCAAAATAATTTTAATATTCCGGTGCGGCATCGAACACTTGAAACCGGCATATCTCGAAATCACTTACTTTAGCGAATTTTTACAAGAGTACCTTTTCTGCTTAGAAATGTTTAAAAAATCATGTCATCAACCAAAAATGTGAAAAAGTACATTGAGAAAAAGTTATGGCCCTTCTAAACCATAAGAAGTGCATTGGTTAGCGCCACAGTAAAATGTATCCGTATTCGAGTTCTGCATCCCAGATCATTCCCGACTACCAATTTTTGAAGTGATACATGAAAAAATATGAATGTTGTATTCTTCAGTTTTGTCAGGTTACGAGAGTAAGTCATAAAATATTTCTACGAAGTAATCGAAGAGAATAACAACAATGTCTTGGTTTCGTAAATATTCATCATATTTCCATTTCTGATGATATTTCATCCGACAATTAATGACAAAAATTTGACTTTGTGTCAGAAACTTCCTCAACATGTTTCCATAGTACTTCCGTAGATTCATAATATGACCTCAAATTTTTAATGATTATTACACAGGGTGAGTTATTCTCACAATAATTCACCATAGGAAAAAAATAATATTCCGGCCCTTATATTGGTTTCGTTCAAAGGGCTTCTTCTTGGAGCTATTGACCTTGATTCATGTATCTAATTTGAAGCCAATCGGTTAATACCTGTATTCAATATGACAAGTCGAATTTTTTGTCAGAATCCACAAATCACTTCATTCTTCTATCATATTTGCAGGCCCTATAACCGCATAAGTTTTGTCGGTTTCATCTCCGTACACCCTGTATATAAAGTTACTACCACGTACTAGTCTTGTTAGACTTCAGTCGATTTCTTCATACATTTGCTAGGTTTTAATCGATTGTATGAATACCTAATTGTGCTGTAATATTATTTGGGAAATGAATATTATTATTATATTATATTATGTGCAAAATCCATCTGAGAGTAAAATGGTGAACAATACTTCTGCAAATCAACTTCGTGAATTCTGAAATGGGAAATCAGGGAACCAAATATATTTTATATTTTATGTATTCATGTATATCAATTCAATCTGTATGTGCCAGAACACGAATCAATCCAAAACTTTGAAATCTGAAAGCAATCATACGACTGGGTACTGGGTACGTTCAGATACATACCCAAGTTATGATTTCGGGGTTTTCCTTCCGTTTATCGGAAAAAATAACTAGAAAACAATTCAATCAATTAGTCAACTTCCTCCATGGATCACCACTAGAAAATGAATGTTTTTTTCAGTTAGCCATTCTATTAAACGGGAAACTAATAGATGAACTAAGTGGTATTGCCCATATCACGAAAGCACAAACAATAGGTAGGCGGATGGTACTGAAATTGAAAGAAATGATTCCGAGGCAACTTATTCATATAGCCATACAAGCAACCGTGAACGGAAAAGTTGTCGCAAGAGAGAATATCAAACCATTTAGAAAAGATGTGACAGCTAAATTGGTAAGTTTCGTGATAATTTTTTCTGGATAATAGGTTTATCACACTTTAGGAATGTAACAAAAGGTCTGTTCGCTGTGCCTCCAATAACTACAATATTGTACACCACAGTAGATTCTGTAGCACTGATACCGTTCGAGTGTTACACTTGATCTTGAGGAGATGTGAGAAGTGTAGTGCATATAGTTGTTAGGTTAGAACTTTGTTTTTGGAACATATTATACAACAATCTCTGATTTGTAAATTATTTAATCATTTTGGTCAACATATTTCGAACCCTAAGATGGGGATTATCCAGCTACTGATGAAACAGATTTCATTGATAAATCCTCGTCGATCAGAAGAACTGCTTGTAATTGATTCACCATTTGAATTCAAGAAATAACTGTCATTGACATCATCATCATTATTTCTTTTTTTTTTTCAAGTTCCAAGAGTTTTTACCATGCAATTAAAATACGCGAAATACCAATACACTTGACTACACCACAAGCAACGAACAAGATATCAATTCAATACACTCCAGTCCACTACACTTATCTACACCGAAAAGTGAATTATAGAAATATGTAGTGTGCAATATAAATTTCATGCTGAAACAGCGAACAGACCTAATGCTACTTCCTATTCAAAATTTAGTTCAATATGAATACCAGGTGCAATTCCATCAACAACAGCATACTATGATTGTAAACTGACTTATTTTACATTTTTCCTTTTTTGTTTTACTTCAACGCCTCATTGAAGACTGTTGGGGGCTGACAATATTTTTGTTGCATATCTATACTAACAATCTGATATAAAAATTGTCTTTCATCCCCTACAGTTGCAGCTGTAAGTAGGGGTCAAATATAAAGATACATGGACTTGATTAACACTTCAACTTCTATTTCAGTATGGTGGGGATGTAACAAGAAGAATGAAACTTTTGGCTCAACAAGCTGCAGGTAAAAAGAAAATGAGGATGATTGCTAATATTTCTCTGCCCAGAGAAACGTTCATAGATGTATTGAAAAAGTAATTCATGAGCTAATATGCAAATAAATAAGAATATTGTCAAATTCAACCGATTTTCATTTATTGCTTCATAGATTTTATGCATCAGTATGCACCTCTGGTGTGCACGTAGTATGAGAATAGTTATTTATACACCAAGGTAGTAAAGAATATCATATTACCCGTGGTAATAATATTCTTCATTACCAAGGTTTATATTACATCTTTTCACTAGCAATATATTTCAATCATTTTAGTTATGTGAAACCGAAATATGGACCTATTGTCAATATGAAATAGTAGAGAAATAGATCAAAAGTGACACAAAGTCACTTTTGATCCGAATGAAACATGGTATTTTTCTGCAACCGAAACAATTAACTCAAATAAATATGTGAAGTAACCACCAATGCAACAAATAATCCGTGTGGTGAGAATATTCTACCTGCATTAACAGCAGGTTTATTCAATTTTCAAGTATGTTCGAATTGTAGTTTCAATATAAATACAGCTACAGAGTGACATATTGGTGTATGAACCAGGTGCTCTAATGGCAAAAACCGCGCCAGTGCCAGGTATAGGAACAAGACGTGGAAAATGTTAGGTTAGTGAGCATATCAACAATAATAATTGCGATTATTTATTCCTCTCCATACTACACTGTGTTTGACTTGATAATAGGATAATAGGAGGTGAACAATATCGTTGTTTGAGACAAAAAACTATTGATGCATGTGATTATTCAAAAACAAGTTATATTAATCATCCCGAGAATAGCGAATGAAATACATATCAAGAAAGTATGTGAATCTTAAAGGCTTTCCTGATCAAAACAAAAATACTCAACTATACCATTGATTTTATATACTAGTGTGAATACTCAAAGACTATACTAAGGTGTATTTATATATCTCCAGAGTATGAAATGCCAAATCTGTCGAAATCGAAAACAAATCGGGTATTCGTCCCAATACAAGTAACCAACCATAACAATGTTGTTTATTCTTGATGACCTCTAGTACATCCATTTTAGTTCCTAGGAGCTAAAGTTCAACTTCAACTCCTAGGAACTAAATGTGTTGCCTAGCAACATACCTATTTTTGTGTCAGTAATAGAAACGTCAATTCAAGAGCTAATTTTGGTATCAAAATGGACGACTTTTGTGTCGGTTGCAGAAAAACACTATTTTCAATAATAAGCCATGATCATGACAGCATATGACAAGTCGTTATTGATAAATACCTACTAGATTCTAGTGCCATTCCTGCGAACCTCTGATCAGATCAGTGCATTCGGGTTAATTACAACAGAGGTAAATCATGAAAATCATCCATTTTCTCAAAGTGGTCCACAGTATTTTCAAGAAGAAAAAAACTAGGGGCTCAAAGTCGGTCGACGGTGAAGTGTGGTCCACCGACTTTGAGCCCCTAGTTTTTTTCTTCTTGAAAATACAACAGAGGTGGCTATGTCTTTATCGAGTAGTAGTTCATAATATGAGTAAATAGTGGTAGATTTTATAGCTAGTGGTGGAAAAAATAGCTTCATTGCACTTAGAGACAGACGAAATATTTTTGGGGATTCAGTACCTGAAGTCTACAAATCAGCATTTTTATTTTTTCAGGATGTTTTTTGAACGCAGGGCTACATGAATCGCGATATTTTTAAATGGATTACCCTGTATTTTTCCAAACATTTTGATTTGTCGTTATCCTGTCTCTACACAACCATTTCTTATTTTTGCAATTCTTTTGCGCTGTTGCCAAGTTAATCAGAATTATTTCGCAACATTATAATACATAGATGTTGTTTCCAATAAGTATGAGTGCAGATCATCGTTTTCCAAATTTCCATCCAAAATTATCCATGAATACTTCGGCTATAGCTTCAATGATTTATAAGGAACAGCCAATGTTGATAATTTCGAATGGTCATGAACTTATTTCAAATGGAACACCCTGTATATTTCAGTAGAACAATATACAGGGTTTAATTTTCTTCCACACGATGTAATACGTTTCCTATATCAATGGGATGTATTTTTCGAGATATTGACATTTTTCTCGAATTTTCAATATCTTTCGTCTAACAACCCAGTAGGAATGACCCCTTACTCGGTTTTTTCACGAATTCCACCACAATTAATATATGGCTATTTTGAATAATTGTTCACAGTTTTTGCCATCACTCCCTACACTTATTTTATGTACGCCTATTCAGACCTAGTGTGCAGAAAGATCTGATAAGTAAGAAACAACCCTATAAAAAGCCAGCACAATCATTTATTTTTTCAAACATAGCAATTTTTATTCGTGCGCTCCAAGAAGAAAAGTTTTTGCTTATTTCCTTTGCGGGAAAGACATTACATGTTAAGGTACATCTGTGGAACCGCTACCAAAGTGACAATTCAATAAGGTATTTTGGATAAAACATTATTCATTTTGTTAAAAATGGCGTATGACAAAAAAGTAGGTATATCAAAAAAGTATAGGTGGCCAGGTAGCCGTGCGGACAGAGTGTCTATATTCTAATTCGCATTCGCTGCCGGTCGTGGGTTCGATCCCCGTCGACTGCAGAAATTTTTCTGATGGCCCAAGAAAGTGTTTGGGATCACACGTTAAAAGGTAAGGCCCCCGTCATTCCTTGCTCGCACAAGACTTTCGAAGACTTTTGAGGGTTGCTCGTAAGGGGGCAACCGAATGACGGATAGAACAAATTTTAGAACAAATATGTATGTCTTCAAAGCACGTGCAATTTTTCGAGCACGGCGGCGTAGCATCAGCATCAAGCTGCTGTAATTTTCAGAAGTGATGTTTCTTCTATACAGGGTGTCCCAGAACAAAGTACATTAAATTCAACAGGTTGAACTAGAGTTCAAAATAGGTCGATTGGGACCAACTTACCATTGTACGAAAATGCACCGTTGGGCCGTGAGAGGGCGATGAATGGAATTTTTTTTTTCAGATTTTATTGAATATTTCAAAATCCTTGAGAGGTAATGCTCTGAAATTTGGAAGGCAGTCAACTATAAGAAGTGTGCATAGATAACAGGTCTCATCAGTTCAATCGATATACAGGAAGATACAAATTTAGCATTCTGATTGGAGAAAATCCATAGAACTTTTTTTGAGTACGGCACTGACAATATTCTAATATCTACTTGAATAACAAAATCAATTATCTTTTTTTTTCACTACATTTCTTTCTAAATTTTGCTTGGTTTACGAGATATCTGAAAAAATTCTTTCGGAGTCCTTCTATATCATCCATAGTCCAAGATATCAGAATTATCGTGTTCTGCAGGTTCCTTCCTCCTTCATGTTGATATTTTGGTCACGTATTCATGTTAATTATTTAATAACCTTTTCATCATACAGGATGGCCCATTTTCAACTCCCAATTGACCTATTTTGAACTCTAGTTCACCCTGTTGAATTTAATGTACGTTGATCTGGGACACCCTGTATATGAGCCGTTTCTTATAAGTTCAATACATCATTGTGTTCGTAAGATTGCATGCATTTCAAGATTAACAAACAAAAAGTTGAGGATGCTGAATTGAAAAAAAAAAACACTTTGGGTATGTGTTATAAATGAGCGTTTCATTTGGGGTTACTTTTTGTTTGTCAGAAATTCGAAAATGTTACCATTTGTCGATAGCAAAAAGGGCCCATCGGGTCTACTTGCTTGGCAACAGCCTCCCCACCTACTACTACTACTACCAACGTAAAAACTCCGATCAATAACATCGTTCGTTGTCGATAAAATGAGACTGATATCTCACATTTCGAGAATTCTGATAGTTTAACTGAGAGTTCAACTATCATTGTATTTTCACTTACTTTCATCATCCAGAAGTATTGATTATCTTGTCAATGGATGTTCCTACGTGTGGCTGCCCGTTTACGAATTTTGTGATATAACTTTTCAGCAGCATTTGGATAATTGCCTCCCAAACAAGAATTTCAGGAAAACTCAGGTATTCGATTTTACCAATGTTCTATAATTCTTTTCAACTCATGGGTTAATGCTATTCTACATTACACAAAACACCTACTTGAAAATGTCTTTCACATCTATTTTAATTTTATCTTGGTCTGAATCCTGTTTTGATTTTGCTTCCTTGAATGCAGTACTCAAACTAATGGCCTCTTCATTTTCTGCTTGGGCTCTAACTTCCCGATCCCATTTGAGAACATCAATTGCTTGCTTATATAATTCTTCTTCTGGAAGGTCTCGATTTTCTGATTCTAGTTTTTGATAAGTTTCAATGAACCTTTGTGTTAATGATGTATATTTATTATTGGACATGTTCGTCGTGCCGATATGTTTATTATTCCTATGGAACATGCTGAAACCAAGAATTCATTGGAAATAAAATGATCAAGAAATGAGGATATTTACGCAAGAGCGTTTTCAATGAGTTACATACAACGTTTTTAGGTACCCTTGATTCTTAACATCTTATTATTTCAATATTACTTGTGTTGAGTGAATGAGTATTTGCATTACTTGTATGCTGCATACATGCTTCATATATTATTCAATTATTCGAGATAGTGTTTTGAAAATTGGTGAAACAATTTTTGTCCTATCGCTTCCGGTTTTACTGGAAACGACCCTAACTTTTGATTTTTAAATTGGACACCCTGTATTGTATTCCATAATCGGTTAGGGATTGTCATAACGAATTTATCGATACCGGGTTTGATAGGATTATTTCAAACGATTACGCATTCGCGTTCTAAGTTTCCACATGCTCAATGAGTGTGACAGAGAAAGAAGTTTTGATACTGTGAAGTCACACCCATTGAGCATATGGAAACTTCGAACGCAAATATCTCTGTAATCGTTTGAAATAACCCCATCAAACCCGGTAACGTTGAATTCGTCATGATAATCCCTAACCGATTATGGAATACAATACAGGGTGTTCAATTTAAAAATCAAAAGTTGGCGCCGTTTCCGGTGAAAGAGGAAGTGATAGAAGAAAAATTGTTTCATCAAATAATGAGCAATTCGGTATACTTGCTACCCACCAATTTCAAAAACCCTATCTAGAATAATTCAAAAGTTACAATCTTGACCCTTTTTTGTGCACTTCTCTACATATTCCCAATTCAACTGTCAGTTCTGAATCTGCTATCCACTTGGAATATACAGGGTGAGTCATAGCCTGATGGCAGATGGTGAAAATCAAGGTGAGTTGATATATATGTGGAAAAATATATTTTGTCTATTCGTATCAGAAATACAGAGCATTATTTGAATTCGGGGCGAAAATTCGATGAACGATATTTCAGGTACGTCTCAATGTTATCGCCTGAAATTCACCAGCAACTTACCTCTACTGACGCACCGCAAGATGGCCTACAGAGGAAAAAAAGCATAACTCATTGTCATAATTTTGACTTTCTGCATCGTATTTTTCAAAACTCATCAAAATCAGAAAAATCAGGAAAAAAACAAGTGTAGCTTTTTATTTTATACGGCACACTTCGACCGATTTGGTAACAAAACAAAGTACCGATGAACGATTCCATGATTTCGTACGTACATATTGTAGTCACATATTGTTCAACAAATTCAATCAAATCGATTTCTCGCATATCGGTGTATCATAAGAGTTGGGAAGAGAAACAGATCTGAGGGATCTAACCTGATGTGTTATAAAGATATACATTTTATTCTAAAAGATAGGTGTAAATTCTCATAAGAAAAGTGATCATTCTAGCTGATAACTTGAACATTTGCATAATAATTAGTTTTGCATAAAGTCATACAAAATTGAGTGTTATATGTTTTTTCAACAGATCTCAAAGATATATCATGTTTTTCCACCTGGGTGATAATGTACAGATTTACCACCTGGGTGTCGCCGTGTTACGAATTGTACGAAATCTTGAAAACCTCAAAGAAACAAATCTAGACTCAAAGCTAGCGCCTTATCGCTTATTTTGAACATTGTATGTTGTACACCTCACAGAATACCCTATCAAAGGGCCAATCATAGAGCAGTTTGCAATTGTGTTATGTTTGTGAGTAACTTAATCGGTTACTTCATGAGAATAGTATCTAAAAGAAGGAGCATACCTGACATAAACACCTAACCTAATAGGTGCCCCATTTTCCATCGGGATTTAAGTAAACAGAGAAAGCTCGCGGGCAAGTTCGAGAGATTAGATTTGTCCACAAACTAGAAATGATTTATAGAGCATGTTCCGACATTCCCGAACAGTACTGCCCGGTATATTTTATCGTCGTAGTGTAGTGTGTCGTGTGTCTACATTTGAGTTGATTATAAAAGTTCTGACTTGCGATTTGATGCTGTATAGAGTACGTTTCAGATTGGTTGTAGTCGTAGGATATGGATATCTCTGTTGATATCTGAGCTATGATAAAATAACGAATACACATCGCTATATCATTGACAATTGTGAAGAGTTATTCTCAAATTCGTCAAATTTTGTCATTTGTTACGACTTACAGTCTACTTTTAAATTTTTGTCAGTATTGACAAAGGCTTGAAAAGTCTGAAATAAATGGAAATCATTGATGAAACTCATTGGTGCTTATTGTTGCTATTCAAGTGTTGTCAAAAATGAGAATATGGGGATGCATGTTTCGTTTTTTCCATTGCAAATATGATCAAGATACCATAATGCGGACAATCGATCGAAACAGCCTGTACAGAATAGTCGGAAGAATGGTCTGTTTTTGAAGGAACCTATACTGTTTCAATCAGTTGCCGTTCGGCCTATTTATTGAAGCATTCTCGGGTAGGGACTCTGCAATTCAAATAATATAATTCATAAATCGGTTAAACTTCAACTGATTTAAACAAAGGGTCTCTTCAAGTACAGACTGCCACACACAATACACACGACCCTACTAAAGCTGTTGGAAAATCTATTTATGACAATAAACCAATTTATCTGAAATAATACATATAAATTTCCAGAAGCTCTTCCACAATCTTTTAGTAAGTAGTAACAAAGTATCCGAGTTTTGTGAATCAGTCAACCTATTTGGTACAAGTCAGTACCATACCTATTACTAACAGCCATATCTCTATTTGTGCCAGGCAGTTTTTGAACAATGCAATATTCTATTCGGATCTAATAAAATTCTCTTAGCAAAATCAATCTATTTAGTTCATCAAATGAATTGCTTTTAATGCAGATATTTTGTTGTGGCTATGCAATTTCTTTTAACCGCTAAGAGAAAATTCTCTCAGTGTAGCGGTACTTGATGAGCTTTTGGTGTTTCTGATGAATCAGATTCGAGTTTAGTAAGAAACTATACTGAATTTCTGAAATTTCATCTACATTCTGTACTGGGTGGCCCACTCCAGATGATCCATCCATCATGATAATTTAATGACACACTCAATAGACTACTAAAGGTCAATTTTTAGGTCAATTTTCAATTCTATGGAGAAGGAAATAGACATTTATATGTATAACCAGTTGAAAGGAGAAGCGTCATTTTGTGTAAGGATGGGATTTTGTGGGACAAGCGAAGATCCTGCATAACACAGAATAAGGCAAAAATTGTTTCCTAAAGTGTTACCTACATATTTTTTTAATTATGATGATGATTTCTCTTGAATAGAAATAATGAGCAGTTCTATTTGATGTAAAAACTTCACAAACGATAAGATTTCCACGAATTCTTATACACACAATATGTTTCGCTAACACAGTAGCTTCATCAGGTGATATACTGGTACAATGAACCATATCAACCATATGGGTTCATTGTTCTATTTGAGTTTTAACGAGTATGTACAAAATTTAGTAGGCAAGTTTACTTCGCCCCTCTCTTAGCAGGTCACTTTGAAGTATATGTCAAACATTAATATGGTCACAAATCAGAGTCAAAATTCATGAAATGGATCGTTTGATATCTTCATAAGTGAAATATAGCTGCCCAAAGTTCAGGTTTCCCAATTGTTATTGAGGAAGCAGCACAAAATGCATGATTCTCTTGGTCAATCCATATTTTCATTAGATAAGTAGTGATGCAATGTTCATTTCAACACCATTTAGGTAACATTTTAATCAACACAGCTAGTTACAAAATGAAAGACGTTTCAAATTTTCTCTCAGTTTTGAAAAGTATCAAATTACATTCAAAATTAGAAAAATGTACTTTTTTCCTGCAATTGACTCAAAAGACATCAATTTTTTTTCAAAATTGGTTCTTGAAGTTAATGTTTCTCTTACTGACACAATAAAATGATAAGTATGTATGTTGCTAGGCAACACTTTTTGTGTCTAGTAGCTAAAGTTGGAGTTTTTTACTCCTAGGAACTAGAAGTGAGTTGTATGACAGCTAAAATGATAGCTGCTTTGACACTGACATGCTCAAGTGAGTCAAAATAGTGATAACATCCACTTATATTTCATTAATTAGATATCAATTATTTTGATTGCATAAAAAATAGCATGTTTCATCCTGATCAAAAGTGACTTTGTTTGAAGCACAAAATTTGTATGCTGGCTTTGCATTACTTCCCAGTAGCTCTGTTTGGCAATAAAGGGAAATATCACTTGTGGAACAAAGTGTCACATATGATCCTAATAAGACAATAAGCCTACTTTTTTCTACAAACATCAGAAAATGACATGGCTATAGTGCATCAATGACAATAAGTGAAGTGAAACTTTTTTTTATTTTGTGTGCAAAATACTGCAAGCACTTCATGTGAACTACATTTCACAAAAAAAAATCAAAACAGCAGTGTCAAGTACATTTAGGAACTCTAATGTAAACTATATGGGATTTTTGTATTTTAACCTTTATGGTCCTCAATGAAGCAAAAATCTGAATAATAATGTATTTCTGTTTCACAATAAATAAGGGTTTTTAAGCCAGTTCCACACTATTTTTCAAGCTATTTTTATATTAGCCAAGCATATTACTTATTTTAGAACAATATTTTTTGACGTTTGTAGCTGCACCACGTCAAAAAAGTCAGATCTAACAAACTTACGCTCTGATTTTGTCCTCTTTGTAGAAAATGGTCTTAAGTTTCATGTTAGGAATGGGCCTATCAAACCTGGGTTCTTCTTTTGGTGGAAACGCTTCATATATATCATACCATAGTGGTCGATCTTGCCAATTCAGTGCTCCAGAGCGAAGTAAACCTGTGGTCCTGAAAAACACCTGATGAAAAACTAGAAGTGGAGTACCTAGAATAAAATTTTGGAAAAATGTAGGTACCTTGTATAAATTGTTCCAATCTTCTCAAGTCGACTTCCTGCCATTATATATTATGAAATATCAAGAAACTTAAGATTCTCAGACTCTGATTCTTTTCAAATTCGATATTTCTTGAAATTGAAATCCATCAATTCCTAGAAGGTTATTCGCCTAAATTTACTTTCTTCAGTTTCAGTTTCTCTTCTTCTCATTTTCCAATTCACTCGCAACCTTGGGTATTTCTTCTTGCTCGAAATTCCTTTGCTAGCAAGTGATGTGTGAACTAATTGTGAACTAGAATTAAATTAATCAAATGATACAAAATTCGAAGAATGTGGTACAGAACTATATGAAATCTCAGCCAAAATTTCCGAACATTGCCGAAGAACCAGTGGCGGACAACATGTTTTTTTTTTTCAAGCCTTCGAATATAGAATAGTAATTATTTTCTGTGACGGGAAAACAGTTTGGTATTTCATCTCTGTTGGCAGGTTATAAAATTTCACTTTTCATAAAATACTTTTTTCCCGTGGGGAAAAAGTGAGTACTTTTATCCCGGATATATATCACATATAATATATATACTGTTGATGGCTTTTGTTCTGCAATAGTTCCGAAAAATGAGTCAATAATACCGTCTCCGAGAAAGAACTGCGAGTCCGTTTATCTTCCATTCGACTTCGCGGTTACGTATATTACTAAACAACCACTAAATTCGCAATCTTTGAAATCAAATCACAGAATTAGACTGACAGAAGTGACATCAGATATTTGATCACTTCAAAAGAATAAAAGAATGATAAAGATGCCCACAACGCAGGTGTCCCTACTGTTAAAAACTTAAAATTTCACGTCGATAATTTTCCGATTTCAAAATATAGTAATATATCTTCTCAATATTATTGATTCGTCCTTTCTTCTGTCACAGAAAAAAATAGTGTATTGTACACGGGAAGAATATTAGATTTTAGCTCACGGTTTTTTGTCTCCCTCCGCGCTACGCGTCGGGAGACAACACAACCTGGAGCTAAAATCTACAACTTTTTTCCGTTGTGTATAATAAATAACTATATTATATGTACAAGGGGAAAAAGTATCAAATTTTGGCTGGAGGTGAGACAAAAAACACCGAAAGCAAAATCTTATATCTTTCCCGTGTAAAATGCACTATTTTATCTGTGACAGGAAAAACGACGATTCAACATTGAGAAGATATAACATTATGATAAAATCGGAAAATTATCGATATGAAATTTGAAGTTTTCAACTGGAAAGACACCTGTGCTGCAGGCATCTTTTTGTTTGTCATTGTCATTCGTACAAGGTGTGAAATGATCGAGACTTATTTTTTATGTTCTTGTAAGTATTACAACGACTGAACTTGTAAGTATAACCATAGATATAACTGACCCTGTACAACAATCGTCATTTATCTGATCGTAGATTCGGAATAACTGAAAAATCGTATAGCAACTTATATTGTGATACTAGTCGTTGAAGATTTTTTCAAATTCTTTTTTTTTGTTGTTGTTTATTACAAAAAAATATATTTCCTTGTGTTTTCATAAATTCAAATTCTTTTGTAAAAGCAAATGTGTCCGTATTCGGATTCCGCATCCCAAAGATCCGCCACTGGTTCCTCGGGCAATGTTCGGATATTTTGGCTGTGCCACGCTTGTGCCACGTTCAAGTACTTTGACACTTTCCTAGTTTCCTAACCTAATTTATTTGTTGTGTTTTGAAGTGTTTTGCTTCTGCAGAGGTTGGATTGTTTTGAGAGATTTGAGCAGTTTTGAGATCCCCATTTCGATTTTTTCGAAAAAAATAGAGCAAGTATTTCGTTGGATTTGAATTTGAACATTTTAGCTATGACTAAAGAAGTAAAAACATTTGTAAGTAGTAACCGGTAATCACGATTTTCCATTTATTTATTTGTAATCATGTTCATTTTATGTATAGCTGATCCCAAACGATTTATGTAGAAGAGCTGGCATTGCAGTAACTTGGCTTCCCATTGATCAAATATCAGTATTTGCTTATGAAAGAAAAAATATTCACCAGAAAGATCAACCCAGTCACTTCTCATCAAATAATCAAACTTCTATCTTCCACTTGAGACAAGATGTAGTTCTTTTCCATCCCATACTACGCAAATTGGTTAATGAATCACATGGTGTATTCCTAGCTGTGCAAACGTTGATGACTAGCAAAACAGTCAACCAAAGAATAGAATTGTTCAAGCTCAGTAGGCAGTATAGATCCATAATACGTGCATGTCTGGAAAACTTGCAAGATGAGATAATGAAATCTGGAGATGGTGTAGAAAAAGAAGAGTTACAGAATTACATTACAGTATTTTACTCAATTGAATGTATCTGGCACTTGTGTGAAATATTATTTGTTGAAGTTATGCCAGGAAATCTTGTTCTAACACAATTGTTAGAATGGATTCGATTTCATTTCCCAAAATATGAAAGGAATGCAGCTACAATGTTGTCTGGAGACTTAACTGGACTTGAATCTCAGCCTGAGTATTGGGAAACTGTTTTGGGAAATTTGTTACAAGGCAGGATCAAAGTTGTAAGGGTGTTGTTGAGACAACATTCTGCTTCTGATAGTAGCATATTCAAATTGGTTGATCATGTCTTCAAAGCTATGCCTTTATGTAATGTAAGTACCCATTTATACCAGAATGTTTGAGATCATTAGTAATTTGTTGTATTTTATTAGCTATTCAAAGTTCATGAATTGTAGCTCAAATAATGATTAAAAGTTTGGTACTTGTGAAATAATAGCAGAATAATTATATTGTGGTGGTTTTTGGTTTCAGGGTTCTAATGGTCCATCAATCAATGACTTCAACATGCAGTGGAGACATTGGACAATGGATGTTCAGTCCAAGATAGATGCTAAATTATTCACTTCTGAAAAACATCTAGATTTGATGATGAGGGTAATATATGAATAACTCATTTTTATTATCTGAATGATTATACAAATCTGTGGGCTGGTGAAATGAATGCATGTTTTGCAAAACAAAAATTTGCAAGTTGAATGGGGAAATGACATTTATTTTGAAGGATAAAGCTCTATCCATGAATAATGTTGTTGTTGATATATTTGAATTATAAATTTTTCCTCTATTTCTCAGTTTCATGATTCTTCAATTTGATTTATTCACTAGTGTGGGACCACTGTGAACAGCATTGTTGTTCTGACTTGTTAATGTTTTTAGCATGATAAATTGATAAACCAGGTGGCATGATCCACCCTTAATTGGTACCTTTTCTACAAGTAATGTGAAACTTTATTGACATTATAGCCTCCAGTTTTAGGGGGAATTTACATAAAAAAGATTGACAAACTGAGTAATTTTTCATTTGTTTATTGCATTTCTTGTATCATTATTCAGGATGAGTCATCTTAGGAGCTCCACCAGTTATACAAACCTATATGTGATTCATTTCATAATCAACAGTTTAAGTACATGTGTACTTGAGTAATATTTTCTTGAAATATCAGGTTGCTGTTCATGGCATTTGAAGAAAACCATTTTAGTACTTATATGGTGATTTTTTTTTAAATAAAAAACATGGCCTCATCATATTTTTGTTTAGAAACAGAAGAAATATCATATCATTTAATATCATCCAGTAAGAATGGCATAGACACATATCTGCTACAGAAACAGACAACTCCTACAATAATTTAATTTTATTATATCAGTATTTCAATGAATATTCCAAATATCTTTAAAGAAAAATCAGGAAAAAATCGTTGTCAAATAATAAACAAAAGTATTGTCACTTCCAAGATATACCAGGTGATATACCAAGGTGGCTCACTGCTATAACTTTTGTATTATTGAATGTAGCGAGGAATGTAGTAATGATATAATGGTTCAATTGACAATATTTTACATATCCACTTGCTTTTCCGTACTTTCCGAAAATGGCCCCAACTTTCGATTTTCAAACGGGACACCCTGTATTTTATTCCATAGGTTAGATAAGGTTTAGGTTCTATGTGAGTGGAGCGAATACCGCTCCTCCACTGTGACCCCAGAGGGGTCTATTGTGGCTCACCACTAGAGGTTACAGTTCACTGTACAATCCACATCTTTTTACAAAGACCATGGTAGTAGTAGTAGTAGTAGTATTGTGGGAGGCTGTAGCCAGGCAAGTAGGCCCCCATGGGCCCTATTTGCCAACCCCTGCTCTCCACATATCTACACATCCCTCTTTTAGTTATCCTTTTTGAACCTTCCCGTCCTTCTGATGAAGGTCAGGATGTCCGTCCACTCTTATTCGACCAGATCTTCCTGTTGTAGTTTATCTACTCCAAAGATTTCGAATCTTATCCTTCCATACGCCTCACACTCTCCGAGGAAGTGAAGTGATGTCTCCTCATCTTCTCCGCATTCACGGCAAGTGGGACTATCTTCTACACCTATGAGTGATAGGTGTCTGCGTAACCTGTTGTGCCCTGTCAGTACCCCTATAAGAAGGCGCAGGACTTGGCAATCCCTGCCAAGTAACCAAGCCGTCTTTGGCTTGCTTGGACCGGCCACCAGGTATCTTGATTGCCTGCAGCCGCCTATATGCCTCCAGTATCCTTCTAGTGCCTCGTCCTCCTATTTGTTAATGGCAGACGAAGTTTGGTTTCTTGTTATGCCCAGTGCAGGCTCCGGTCCCCAGAACCATGGTTGAATTAGGTGAGATTTGCTGAAATCGATAGGTTCTATATTGGTAGCGCCAAATATGTTGGACCTCAGTGTCTCTAAGCAAGAGCATAAACATAATGTGTATTCAGCCGTTTCGTCTTCCACACAGCAGAACCGACAGTTAGGTTAGCCCTTCTCCATTCTAGGATCTGCATGGTTATATTTTTTTATGGTTTAGGCAGGAACACCTTCTAATGGGTTAATCCTGGTAATTCAGACCAGCGCGTGAGTCTTTTTCCCTCTATAATCGGTCAGGGATTATCATGCAGAAGATTACAAAGATATTTGCAAAAAATTCACAAACGATAAAATTTCTTGAATGGTAAGAGAAAGAAAGATGATCAAATCAGGAAAAAGTTAGGTAATTTAGACACACACAAACTGAAGAAATGCAGTCTTTCCTAAAATATTTGGAGAAAACTGGAAATCGTGAATTTTGTTTGCATTTTTTTCCCCGTTGATATTTGGAAAACAAGATTGTATTTTTGCATAAAGAGATAATTGACCAAGGAGCAAAATAGCATTAATTTCCCTATTGTTTCAATGTATTTTCAAATTAAATACAGCCGATTACAGTTCATTCAGACTTTCATTTAAGTGATCTCCAGAACGACATTGTCTATTTATGAATGACAATACAATACGCCATGTCTACAGTTGACAAGTGACAGTGTCTTTATTAATTAAGGGTAGTCTCCACTGAACATGATAACTAATTAAAGGTAAATGATAGACCTCCGAGTGAAGTGAAAACAATATTTTTCTATAATCAGTGTGTAAGGAGTTGTGTAGAAAAATATGAAGCAATAATACATGGTTCTAGAAAAATATTTAAAAAATCGATATTCTCTTTCGTGTAGCGAGTAGAAGAATTTTCGAAATCATCCCGAGATAAAGTTGTAACATACCCAACTGTGACTGATTTTTTTTATCAAAACAAATTTTTCTGAAACCAGATAGCACCGCAAAAATCGAGACAAAAATTGAACATAGTGTATTAATTGGTTCTAATTTACACCCTGTGTATGCTTCAGTGTGCTGAATTTCTCATATTATCAAAGCTATTTTTGAAATTGATGAAACCCAACATTCGATGCCGAAAACCTCAAGTAAATCGTTCGAATCCTTAAGAAAATACAGGATGGCAAAAAAGGTCAAATAGTGGTATGTTTCATGTGTTGAGAACTATACACGTCTGGCAAGAATAATGTTCCTATAGAAAAGCCGTGTGCCTGGGCATTTTATTGAATAGAGAAAAAAGCGACATTGCCATGCCCTTTATATCGCATTAATCCCTCCTTCCAGCGAGAAAATTTTTCGGCCCGACCGAAGTGATTATCGTTTCCGTATGTGTTGGGGCAACGACGCTTTTACATGGTTTCTTCATAGGAAAATTATTCTTGCTAGATATGTATAAACGAAAATGACGTTTCGCATTTTTTCAATCGCCAGTCTATGAAGGAAAATTCGAGAAACCGGGAATACCGTTATTGTTTTATTATTTTATTTGTTCAATAATCTGCATTTTTCTTAGTATTGAATCATTATTTTCCAGCTGGTAGTAGGAGAAGAACAAGCGTGGATTGAAATTCAAGACCAGTGTGAGGCCTGGTATGAATATTTAGCTGGATGGTTGTTTTTCACTGAACCAACAGTAAAACCCTTTGAACTGGGACAGTTTGCAAAGAGAAGTATAACAAAAATGAGAATGAATCATCATATGAAACACTTGGATAGAGTATTGTTGGCAGCCATGGAATTTGACATTTTTCAAGTATGTATTGAATATCTACCCATGATTATTTTTAATTAATATGCTGTACGAAAACTGCTGCATTGTTATATTGCTTGAAAGAATACTACTCACTTAAATATCAAAGGTATCTCACAATTTTTCAGGTAATCAAGGAAATTCAGTACATGCCTGAGAATGGTTGGTTTGTTAGCCACTTAACGGATCTACTTCATCACTGTGAAAGACTTTCAAGTTTAGAAAAAGAAGTAGAGAATTTGTGAGTAACTTAACAAAATGCATTCACTGAACTTGAACCCATATAGGAGAAGGGATTTTCAATTCCATTGCCGTGTTCCTACTAAATTGACAAAATATATCATATCATGGTTTCAGAGACGGCACCATTTTATTTGTTGCCACAAAGTATTGACTGTCGTACTTTCTGTCTATTTCATACTTTCCCGTAAAATCAATTATCAGAATATTGTTTTAAAGCCGAAACTTGCCGAGCAAATTCAGCAATAATCGTATTGATTGAGCTCGTTACCTCAAAGGTTAACTTGGAGACTCAATTAATAATGCCCAAAAATCTTACTTAGTTTCAGTCTGTGAAATATGAGCTGGGTTTGAATTAAATATGTGAATGACTTCAATTATTATCTGCTGAGGAATTATATTTTCTCTGATGGATATTTCCTAATGAATTGAATGACTGATTCGTTAAGTATACCAGGTGTGACAGTATAACAGAATCGAATCATGTGAAGAAAAAAAATGGGGTTTTCATTTGACAAAATTGAGTTTTTCAATGTTTCATGTTCACTTTTTGGACACACTTTCCTGCGCACCCTGTACATTATTGAGTGGTTGAGATTATAGTGAATGATCTATTCAACCTTCATGATTCATTATTCAATCACTTATATCAGTAAAAATTGTGATTCACATGAAAATGGTGTATTTCCAAAGGCTGCATCTGTAATTTTTTTTTTCTAGAATAGCTGGAATAACTTGAAAACGGATTATTTCAGGTATAGGGGTATGATACATGAATCTGAATCAAAATATCTTGTTCCATTGAATGGATTCTCCATGTTTCCTTCAATGTCCTAACACGAATTTTCAGAATCATGCTAATTTCAATTCTCCATATACATATAGATCACGTTAACTCATAACCTCATACCCCCTGTATACACATGAAAATTTATACATGTCTATGAAAGTCTGAAATATATCATGAATTTCAGTTTGCTCAATGTGTTTCTGATCAAATCACTTGTTATTTCTTATCCATTGGTTTCTTATATTAAAACTTGTGTTTTTATATAAAACCAAGGATTTTTCTAACTAATATTTTCCAATTCAGCACTATCAGTTGAACTGAAAGGAAATATAGATATCCACGACCAATGAACTCAATATAAACATTATTGCAGATTTTTTGGGATTTTCTCTCCTCGTTTCTATAAAATAATAATATGAATATTATTTCAATGTACGTGTAGTAAGGAAAAATCAGATGATTTGCCCCAAAATATCACTGTGTTTAAAAAAATTTCCTATCAGAGAGCCTAAAAGGAAAATTCACCAGCTTGTCAGTGACAATTTGTATTGAAAAAAGTTTTGGAGAAGAGAAATAAAGGTATATAGAAAAAATATCAAATTTTCACTTAGCTTTGGACGTTTCGGGAACGAATCTGCTCCCGTTTTCAACATGAAAAATGGTTATTTGAATAGCAAATTCGTATCTATCTTGAAACTCTTCAGTTCTCAGTGACAATTGGAATAATGAATGTACCACGTCCTCGATTAACCTACAGACAGTATTCAATATAAACATCTGGAGGGGAGACTGCCGTTCTCTCGAATAGCACAAAGTGTGTCAGGGGCAGCTGCAACAAAGATAGCTTGTGTTATGGTAACCTGTCTCTTTCACACTCGTGTTGTTTAATGCCGGATTGGGGTATACATTTTCTTTTATCCAATAATTGGAGTACTTGAGATTTTTTTTTTACCTAAACAGGCAAAAAAAGTTAAGACAGAACTTCATTGTTTTTTATTATGTGAAATACACGTGAAATATCGCTTAATTTGGCGTGTTTTTTTCTTCAAAAGGACTGAATTTGTTGTTGTGAATCGATTGTTGTTGAAAAGATTTGTGATTTCGAATTAATAAACAATAGCCTTTGGATGCAAAACAAGCAAGAAAAACATGAATTGTCCTTCATGGGTAAGTTGAAAATTGTTCAGATCGATTCTTAGAAAAACTATATCAATATATTTTCAGGGTGTGTCTGTGAATGTGTGTGTGTGGATCATAACTTGAATTCCAAGGACGATGTTTTTCATATGGACAACTACAACTTCCAGCTCTCAAGTTTCAAAGTTTATTGATAATGAAACCCTTGAACTGTTTCATTCAAGAAGGGCTATTCTATTGCAAAAGTAAAAAGAAGAATGCGACAATCTTGATGAGATACCAAGAAACATTTTGAAGGTTAAAACTACAAGTTCAAATGTTTAAACTCAAAAGCTACATCATATTGTCTTTTCAGGTTTGCCTTTGGAGCTTCTTCTCCAGAAAGAAAAAAATGAAGGTGTAAATCCTGGGTGACACAGATATTCATCTTGATGAAACAATTCGTCCAAACATTGTTCTTTTATTCACGTTTTATTCGCCTTTTATTCACCTTTCATTCACCTTCCAATGGTAAAATGTTCATGGAAAATAAGTACTCTTGAAAATTAGGCATACCATTCAAGAATCTCTCTTCCAATTTTTTCTATCGTTTTTCTTTATCTTCTGATAGTGCTGAGACATAGAGCTTCGCTCTCCCTGTACAATATATTATGACATTTGAATGAAAATATATAATTTCCATTTTGTATTCATTTGACTTCCTAATCCTGTGAGAATAAAAATGAAAATTCACTTTTAAGTCAATGAAAAGTCGATAATAATTTTTGAATGATAATTGATTGCAACTATAACCTTTTTTCTAGATGAATATTTATATTTAATCACGTATACTCCTAAATGAAAGCAGAAAACGAGAAAATATTTTTCCCATTAGCCAACATAAGATAGAAAGAGATAGGTATCCGTAACCACTGTGGGTTGCCTGAACAATATTTTTGCCTCACTCGTCACAGAGGATCCCTTCCAGTTGTTTACATTGAGTACAACGCCCACGACCCACTCACTATGGTCCTAATCAGTTGAACTTGAAAACCTGATACAGTGTATTCACGGGTTTATCCAATGGATTTTTTTTTCATTTTATTTCATACCCAAATCGAATATAAATACGAGCATAACTGAGAATCTTGAACCTTGAAGTCTAGAGGAAGGCATTTTGATGACAACGCCCACAATCCTGTGTTGTCACGTTTACCGGGCAATATCTCCTCTAGTGTGGATTAATATAATCATTATCTACACAAATGTATATCATATTCAATAAGACATAATATATAATAGGACAAATTTCAAGACAATGGATTTTTCTGAAGTTTCCATTCGTATTTCAACATATGGCAACTGTGCTATAGTTTGCCCCTACTTACAAAATCGTGACGTCAGTTTTTATTTGCGGTAAATTTCTATGCGTTGGAAAATTACCGTGGCAATATTGATGATTTTAGCTCCTTAAAATCGACCGAAAATATGGAATTGAGAGGTAATTGAGTGAAATGATTCTATTTAAGAAATACAAAAATAGTCCACTCGTTCATTTCAATTCAAGCATGTTTTGGCTCGATCAAGAAAATATCCAAGCCGCAGTTTTTAACATTAAGGAGAAATGACTCACGGACACTAGCAAATATCTGGACGTTTACCACTGTTCTGTTGCAGGACCCATTGAAACATCTTTCGGGCATCGCCAAAACTTTTCAAACATAAAATAGTGAAATACACACTCAAACTGGCAGATGACATTCACTAATGCACAGACTCGGTACAATGTTGGTTACTAATGCTTACTCTTGTTGGAATACATTTTCCTTCTCTGTTCAAGTTCTGTGAATGCATCCAATTTACGATGCGTTTATTTCTCATGAATGACTCATTCCAGACAGGCTCCAACTGTTCAATCAAATTCAAAATTCTAATGTTTATATTCTTCGAGATAAGCATATTCCAATCTGATAACAAACGACAGCTAACTAATATTTCAAATACTTTACAGCTCGGCCGAAAAGCTACGTGAATCTTTTATACTGGACTATGCGGTCACTCTAATGGGCCACAAATCTTTGTGGCAAGTAGGATTAACTTATTTAGATAACTGTCCAAACGATGGCCTTCAAGTGATCGAACTACTTCTACCTAGGATACATATCGATACGGAATCTAAAGCACTAAAAATTATCCGAGAGGCTAAAAATAGAGGACTAAATTCTGTTGGTATGTATGGATCCGGTTCAAAATACAAAATTACAAATCAATATCGAATCAAAATCTGTTTGAAAAGTTATTTCCATTTCTTAATTTTTTCAATTCCCTGTCAAAATTCCAAGTACGATATAAAACTATACCTATTTCGAATTTTAAAATTCTTCCCCCTCAAGATCATCATTGGAATATGTTTCATCATCACATTCTTCTAGAAGAGAAAATTTACACATATTCACAACTGGCCGATAATAAGTGCCTATCTTGGTTTTTACGGCAACTACTCGTACTTGGCCGTCTTTTCCAGGATAATTAGCAACGATTTTGCCTAGTGGCCAATTATTTCTGGGCAGTCTATTATCCTTAATTAACAACCAAATCTCCTTCCAATGGAATGCTCTTTCTCAACCATTTGGTTCGTTCAGTTAGAGTTGGTAAGTATTCTCTCGCCCAACGATTCCAAAAGTTGTCTGCCAGTTTCTGAGCGAATATCCATTTTTTCCTTGGATCCATCCATTCGTCAAAAACTCCAGGTGGCTTTGAAGAACGTCAGGTTCCTATGATTGAGTGATTTGGAGTTATACTTTCTGAAGTTAGCTCTTGAGTGAATATCGAAATAATAATATGCATGGTAGAAATTGAGGTTATCGTATCTTGGTGTTTGTGACTAGTGGACTATGGAAGCGGCCGGATTACAATGAAAAACGAATCTGAATTCGTCTGGGCCATAGACCAATGATACGCGAGGTCAAATATAGTACCTATCGCATTACACACTTCACTCTTAACTGGAATTCACTATAACTTATGTGATGAAAACTAATCCGAAGAAACCTTTACCATTGCTCTACTCTATATCCATTCATCATGATTATTCACTCTTTTTTGTGTGTTTAACTTTATATTTTCACTACCTCATAATCTCCCAATCCGCTACGGAGATTGGTGAAGGTTTATTCTGAAACTTATGTGCTGCTCGGTGTTGAAACTTGTAGCTAATGTGTCATAAAAAAATAAGGTTTCAAATATATCCCACTTTTTTAGTTCAGTGCATCTGTAAAGTCCAAGGAATGATCTCGATGAAGAGGGGAAGACTCGGGAACGCTCTATCTTGGGCTTTGAAGTCACAAGATGGGCCGTTCACCTCTTTCTTGGCCGACAAATTCTTGCAGGAATATATCAAAAGTGGAAGATTAGACAGTAAAGATTTACTAGACAATCTCGGATCCTGCATGCTTGTCAGTGATAGGCTTATATTCTTAGGTAAGGACAACTGATCTGTGAAAATTTTCGATGATTCTCACATTTCTTTTCAGGAAAGTATTATGAGTTCCAGAAACTCTACCAATCTGGTGAATACAGGGAAGCATCAATGTTACTAATTTCCCTAATGGCATCAAAAATAATTCCAAAATAGTAAGTTTCCAAAGTATAATTGCAATAAATCTCGATATAAAAATTATTCAAATGGAGCAGCTGGTTACGTAGTTCCAGTGTTATTGCACATCATCATTACAGTGTAGCCAAGTATTTTCGAAACTTTGAATGACATAACAAAGAAAATATACTGTCGGACAGCAAATCACGATTTGTGCTATCATTTTCAATAGCCATATTCAAAATCATCACGGATGTGACTGAGCCATCTGCGTGTTTTCTTTGCTCAGAAAGGTACAAAATGTAGAGCGAGAGGAAATCGTTTGCGTTTCACTGTCACATTTCTAAATTAGATAGTACCTACATAAGCGTGAAAACATTCTAACAACTAACACGGATAATTTATTCTAGTAGAGTCATTCCAAAAACGATTTTTGCTCATAATAGTTGCACTTCAGAATTTCCCTGGAATTTTTATCAGAATTTGGACAAATTTAACGCTATATGCTTTGAAATTGGCCTTGTGAACTCTTTTACGATTCTAGTGATTAGTTATTGCCAAAAAAAAATGTATCTCTAGCTCCTCAATGAACCCTACTTGGTGACATATTTGAACAAGTGAATATATATCTCTATCATATCTCATAGATCTATCACCAATCACTCTGTATATATCCATGCTGATACACTTTTTTTTAGTTTCTGGTATATTTTACTTCTTGAGGCAATTCCATTACTGGAGAGTGAAGAATTACTATTTTCTTCGAATGATACCTTCACAATCATCCACTGCCTGGAAGAAAAAGAACATCTTCCAGAGTTGAAAGAAAAAATCGAAATTTTAAGGTTAGCTGCTGCTAGAAATTTGTCTCGAGCGTTAACATATGAAGCACAAACTATTAATTATTGAGTAGTGTATCGAATTTTTTGTATTTAATTTTTGATAAAAATAAAAAATATTTTTTTTTAAATCTACTGTAGAAGTCCATGTTATCTCAAAGTGAAGTGAAGTAGTTAAAATATAATAAAAACTCTCCAAGTCGTCTCCACAACGTTTAATTCTAAATTCAAGAAGGAGGGGACATGTTTCGGACCCAAAAGGTATCCATCATCAGCCAGAAAGAAATTATTGTGAAGAAGAAAAAGGCAAAGGGGTCGTTGAGCAAATATCTGGCGGGATATAGGGCCCCAGTTTGAAGAATAATACCTGTTTACTTCATTTTCAATTTTATTTAAAACTATAAACATGTTTTTATAACTATTTTACCATGCTAATTATAGCCATGTCTTTGTATTTTTCTTCTCCACAATAATTTCTTTCTGGCTGATGATGGATACCTTTTGGGTCCGAAACATGTCCCCTCCTTCTTGAATTGAAAATTAAACGTTGTGGAGACGACTTTAAGAGTTTTTATTATATTTTAATTTTTTTTTGTTTCAAATGGACACTAAATATTTTATTCTTGCATTCCTCCTTCCTATGCTAGGATAACCTCGTGATGCATCCTTCGCCGTACCTTCATGTAACCGTTGATTTTTTTTTCAAAATTTTAAGAACGTCCAGGTTAACTTCTGAATAAGTCTATAAACCGATGATAAACGGTAAACAATAAAGCCGAGAAATATTGCCAAATCATAATGGAATTATCATGTTTTGGATTGGTAGTTTTAGTTCTCGTAATTACCACATGAGGGCAGGTCCACGGGGATTCATATGGGGGTCATTACCCCCCTGCTCCCAGAGGTAGACCAGTGAACTTTATGCTCAATTCACCAAAAAACTGTACTTGATACATATAAATGGATAGTGGCCACAGACTCAGACACGAGTTGCTCACGCAAATAGGCTGGAATTTGCCTACAGTTGTGTCATAGGTATTATGTTATAATTTGTATCAAATTTTTTTGATGATGATTGATGATTTGATCAATAATTTGAGTACAGCAAAAGTTGTTAGTGCTTTGGATTTAAAAAATGGATAGTTTCATATATTGATATGGATCCAGAATCAGTCAGATATACAGGGATTGTGATTCCTAATGGACATTTTGAGGTTTCAAAATGCAATTTTTGGCCTAACAAATAATCAGTTTTCCATGAAAGATACATTATTAAGTATATTTTTTAAGATATGATCAGAAATAATAATATACAAATTTACATGGAAGATATTTTAATAACAGAGACAATTGAAGAGAATATACAAATTTCAGATGTTTTTCAGCGAATTTTGACACATAACCTTAACACGTTCGCTGCCGGTCAACTACAATAATGACTGTCGTCTCACGCCGATCTGAATATATCGCTTAGAAGCAGAACTAGTCGCGTGATCGGCATCCAGCGAAGTTGCCGCATCACGCTCTAGCGCGTTATCGATATTAGACAAATGTGCTTTTCAATTTTCATCTTTTCTGAAAACTAGGTCGCGTGCACGATGACCGACCCTGGAGGTGAAACATATTGAAACACAAACTCACTTTTCTGTGAAACATTGAAACACAACCTAATTTTTCCGTATTGCATTGAAACACAACCTCACTCTTATTATTTGTTCACGAAGGAATCAATTAAAGGACTGAACTAGTTTTTCTCGATATTTTGGCATAAGAATCGTGTTTTTTGGGCTATTCATCAATTCAAGCATGCCATCACATTGTGCCGTTATATAATGCACAAAAACGCAGCGAAAGACGAAGGAATGTGATTTTTCAGGTTGATATAGTGATCTCACAGCTCTCATTATGAAATTTTGTAATTTCTCATTAGAAATTAGAATTCTTTCTACCACTTCTGCAATGGAAGAATACTGCTTATAGAGTGAAAATGTCTACAACACACACGATCAATTTCGTCAGTATGTCAGACCAGTTTGTTGATTGCATGAATCCAATATTCTTGCCTTCTTTTAGAAACTTCACGAGTATTTCTATTAGCTCCTTTTGCAGAAGGAATTTCAATGAGAAATGACAAAATAATTTCAGAATGAACTATATCTTATCTTTATTATTATTCCCAAGAAACATACATGTTTATAGCAGGGAAAATTATGAAAGAGCAACTAAAAAAAAAAACAAAAATTAGATAATCAGATAATCATTTTCAAATCATATACATAATACATATAATGTTGTTTCTTCTAGAGACTGTTTAATATAATTTCTTGAATTGATTCAGGATGATATGGAGGTCTTTTTTACTTTTTAATACAAATGGAGTTCATGTTTCTCCGAAACTAGGATGCATGTATTGTAGAAACACCTATTGTAAAAACCGATAATCTGCGCTACATTGAAAGCATAGTATTGTAAAAAAGCAATTTTCGCAATACATCAAATTTCATGACAGTAGATGAGATACATTTTCGCGATAACTTAAGTCTTTATCTATTGTTTTTACAGTACATGAGGCTTAATGTATTGCAAAAATGAGTTTTTGCAACAGATTGATTTTCAGGTTTTGATCTAGTTTCGATTATCTTTTTCTTCTTCTCTACTTATCTCAAATCATAGAATGCGTAATCACTAATATTTTTGAGTTCTGTGCTCTTGATGTCCAGATGTCAAAAGGCAAAAACAACTGAACGAACCCCTATATATATATATATATATATATACTGAAAAAGGTTTATCAAAACTCCGAGAATGTATAAAATAAAAAAGGTATTTGAATCTGTATTTAAACATTTTAGAGTACTGGTACTGATAGGTAGAAGTAAGGGACATTTGCAAACATTTTACAATTAAAGAGGTATTCCATGAGCTGTTTGCCCCTTGTTATGGAAATGAGTTATTTTTCTTGTACAAATTGAAATTAGCTTCTGAATGAGTAGTGTTCTAAGAAATTAGAAAGGTGGATTTGTTCTAGGAATGTTCTAGAGTAGGCAATTGTAAAGGTTAATGAATGTGCTGGTAAACTCACACCTCACCATTTTGGCAGTTTTATATAATAACTAAAGGGCATAAGGGTGTGAAGAGAAAACTAACAGTTTTAATCTTACTTTTCATAAAAGGCGAATAAAAATATTAAAGGAATGGTATGATGTACGACTATATCTTCAACAGTTCTCAATAAACTCAATAAGTACCCGTTTCTCGTTCAACGGCTTCAACGTAGATCGTAGATGAAGTCACTTAAACTTTGGACTCTCTGCTATAGAGGTCTACAGGCCAAAAAAAGAAGAAGTCATTATCTTTTTCTTCTCGAGCTTTATTTATCTTTTTAGTTTTTACCATGTTTTTACTTACAATACATGAGGCTTAATGTTATGCAAAAATGGGTTATTGCATTTGATGAATTTTGCTATATCAATTATTTCAATACATGAATTGTTCAAATGTTTGTTTTTACAATACATTGCTAGGAAATCAATGTATTGCAGAAACTATATTTTTACAATACATTGCTTGTAGTGTATCTTACCATCGTTTTTACCATACATTGCAACTTGGTGTATTGTAAAAACGTTTCATTTTTGCAACACATTGCGGCAATGTATTGTAAAAACGACTCATTTTTGCAACACATTGTGGCAATGTATTGTAAAAATGCCAATTTTTGCAATACATTGCCGCAATGTGTAGCAAAAATAACAGTTTTTACGATACATTGCTCTTCAAGTATTGTAAAAATGTCAATTCCTGCAGCAAACTATGGCAAAAACACAATTTTTGCCATACATTCGAACCAATGTATATTAAGAAGTAAAAAGGCACTCCATAGGATGACATGAAGAGAATCAAAGACATAAGTGAGTGACTATAGTACTTTTAGATCACATGTACTTGAAAAATCAGATTCCTTCGTCTCGCTGCATTTTTTGTGCATTGGACAACAGCACAATGTGTTAGCATGACACGATTCGTATGCCAAAATAATTGCGAAAAACTATTTCAATTCTTTATAAATTAGTAATAAAAGTATGAGGTTGTGTTTCAATGTCCACCTCCAGGGTCGGCCATCTGACAGATCTTGCACGATGACCGACCCTGGAGGTAAAATATTGAAACACAACCTCACTTTTTTCATTCGTTCACAGAGGAATCAAAGGATTGAAATAGTTTTTCACAATATTTTGGCATACGAATCATGATCTTTCAGGTTCATAGTAATCTCAGTTTTCATTATGAAATTTTGTCATTTCTAATTGAAATTCCTTCTGCACTTTTGCAATAGAAGCTAATACTGCTAATAGATTGAAAATGTCTACAACACACGATCATATTTCGTCAGCAGTCAGACCAGTCCTCCCGTTTGATTGCATGAATCCAATCTTCTCGCATTATTTTAGAAATTTCACGAGTATATCTATATTAGCTTTTATTGCAGAAGGAATTCAGATGAGAAATTACCAAATTTCAATGTGAAAACTATATGGTACTTACTTTTAAATCATAAAGTACCAACCGGACTCCTTCGTCTCTCGCTGCAATTTTTGTGAATTGTACAGTCGTATTCAATAGAAAAGCGTACAAGTATTAAAAAGAGAGGATTTTGGGATCCTAATTCTAGTTGTGTAAAACTGGCTCAGCCAATGCTTTGTGTTTTCGAGAACCTATGACAACTTTACTGTCAACATTTGGTGAAGCCCGTTTTATGCAGAATAGGATGACGTTAATTTCTCTCTGTAATATACTTGTACGCATTTTTTTGGATGTGACCATAGAGAAACGAATTATGGATGTGACTGTACAATAACATAATGTGATGGCATGCGCGAATTAATTAATGAATAGCCGAAAAACACGATTCGTATGCCAAAATAATTGTGGAAAAGTATTTCAATTATTTGTTAACAAATAAGAAAAGTGAGGTTGTGTTTCAATGTTTTACCTCCAGGGTCGGTCATCTGACAGCTCTTGCACGCAATCCTTGGTCAATGCAATGTCAATGACTAGTCTGACACAGTCTAGATATTTATCCGTCATTGTAACGGGTTTTGGCGTTTTGGCTGCAAAAAACAAAATAATTCTCCGCCACTGGTAGTTCAGGTACTTTCGAAAATTTGAGCAGTCAAAACAAAAACAGAAAATAATCCGAAATTTCCTGTTCAAAATTGATATTGTTAATATTATAATTGAGATGTTATTATAATAATAATTCAATGACAGAATGATTTACAAAACACTATAACCTCAGAATCATCTTGGTCGTTTTTGTCTGATTTTTGTGAAAATGAGCTCAGTTATAGAAGTGAAAAATGAAAGTACTATTGAAGAGGAGCCCAATGCGGATATACCAATTCCCTCTTCAGAAGAACAACTTTTGGGATCAGTAACAAGCATATGTGAAGGACCAGACCAAAAAGGTCAACAACTCAGGTCAAGTGCTCGTGTTTTCAAGAAAATGAAATTGGATAGCTCAACCCCTGTGATCCCTGAGAAAATTGAGAAGAAGGAGGAGAACAAACAAGATACTATTACGAAAAAATGTTACAGACCTTTGTGGTCATCTGATGATAAAAACTACTTTTTTGAAGCTTTAAATGAATTTGGCAAAGATTTTGAAAATATCCATTCCTACATTAGCACCAAGCTGAGAAAGAAAGGTGTTCCAGATCACCTGATTAAAACTAAGGATCAAGTGAGGCATTTGTATTACAGAACCTGGCACAAGATATCAAAATATCTAAAATTATCTGATGGCATTAAAAAATTGGCACAAGAACTGTATGGTTTGATAAACTATGGTGAACTGAGGAAAAAAGTAGGATCAGTAAGTAAAAAATCTTTGTTAAAATTGAATGATCTACTGTACAAGGGTACAATTATCTTGCGTGTTAAAGGCAAATCATTGAGAGTAAGTACTCCAATGTGTAGGGCTTTGCGCAAAGTGAATCAACTTGATGAAAAATATGATGACATTAAACTACCAAATCGCCTAACCATTGAGTTGAGACCAAAAGATATGAACTCTTTTTTGAGGGTACAGAGCACAGCACAAAATCCCAGACTTAGAACATCAATGCCTTTACAGAAGAGGTTGAGCAGTCTTATTGAATGTCTGAATAAAAAGTGGAAATCAGTTGATGCCAGAATATATGATAAAGCTTTGATATCTACTAATCCAGTAACTAGTGGTTGTGTACCATCAAATAAAGAAACTGAAACAAATAAACTGCTATTGAACCCTCCTTTGAGATTAACACCTCCTCCTGATTGCAATGTTGAAATACCATCAATAAATTTTGGAGAATACTTCACTAGACAAAGCATTTGTTTAAATTCATATCAAAGTAGAGTTGGTGGAGAAAATTTCAATACATTTTGTAACTATAACACTTTCAAGTTAGGAAATAAACCTGGTTCAAGAAAGATAGTTAGACCAAGGACTGACAGTGCTAGTGAAAAAACACCTCCCAAAAATAATTCACAAACTGAGGATTATAATACTGACAATACAGATCAAGAACCAAATAGTGATATTAGTAAGGCAGTAGACAATATAAAACAAGAAGAGATAACAATAGAGGAGACAAAAGTTGGATATGAGCTTGGATACAAAAAAGAGGTTTTTTTGCTAGATCATGAGATGCAGGTAAGAAAGAAAATGAGAAAGAAAACATTTCAATAGGTAGTTTCAAGGGTAGGTCTTCATGAATAATGTGTAAGGTGCTTCAACAATTCAATAATTCTTAAAATAACTTGGAGATGAAATAATGTATGAACATGGATAGCATTCCAATGATTTCAAAGAATTTTGAACACCAATATTGTTAGTATGTCATACACCAATTCCAAATTAACCAAAGAATCACCAACAAGTTCCAAAGATTTCAACCGATTCCATGTGCTTTTGTCATATTCTTTGATGGACTCTCCAGAACTAAGTTTGCTCTGCTTATTACAGAACTGACTAGAAGAAGTGCTATCGTCGCTAATATGCGACACGCCCTTAGTTTTGGTTACACTCTCATCAGAATATCATGAACTCAATTATGAAATATCACTTGAGCCGAGACTCGAGCTAAACTAGCGAGTAGGGTTTCTCTTTCTAATCTCACTTCAGATATTTTTGAAAATTTATTTTGGCGAGCCGAAGATATAAAGGGTCTTTCAACAAGGACCGGTCGATGTTGACAGTGTGTGGCGGCCATGTTTCTTGGGGGCATCTGTCAAATCTGTTGTATTTTATTCAGTCACTGATGCCAAATTACCATGGCAAGCTACACGATCGAGCAGCATGTCCAAATGATTAAACTTCATTATCAAAATGAGTGTTCGTTAGTGCAAACGTTACGCGACTTTATTATTAAAATGAGTGTTCGTTAGTGCAAACTTTACGCGCATTACGCCCATTTTACGGCAGACGCGGTGGCCCTTCAAAGTCGACTCTCCAAAGTTTGGTAGCCAAATTCGAGACAACCGGTTCGGTAAACAAACAACCAACACCCTTACGTCAAAGGAACGCCAGATCGCCCGATAATATCGACGCTGTCCGCCAGAGTGTACAGGAGACTCCGAGGCAGTCGATTTCTCGCCATGTACAAGAACTCGGCCTTTCGCAGACTTCGACTTGGAGAATTTTGCACCGGGACTTGAGCCTGCACCCGTACAAGATCCAACTGACACAGCAGCTCAAAGTTAATGACCATAGGCAACGTCGTTTGTTCGCTCAGTGGGCTTCGGAACGTTTGGAAAGGGCGCCGATTTTTGGCCGAAAAATTATCTTCAGCGACGAGACCCATTTTTGGATAAATGGTTTTGTTAATAAGCAAAATTGCCGTATATGGGACGAACACAATCCACAAGAGGTTCACCAGGTGGCAATGCATCCACAATAGGGCGTGTTTTTCATTCCATCGAAGAAAGTGCGCACTGATAGATGCGGTTTTTTGTCGTGACGTCACCAATTGTTCTGTTGGAAATTATGCTGGAAGGATTGAACAATGGTTTATACAACACATTGATGGAAACACGGATTTTGTTGTGTGTCAGTCATCATGTATCTTGAGAATCAGAAAAGGCTGATTCGACTTTATTGATTAACACTGACTCTTTCTTCTAAAATCTCTCAAGAATCTCAAAAATCCTCAATATTAATTGTTTTCTATCAAATCAAAACAAAAAACAACACCAAAATGTGTCAACTGTCATGTCAATCTCCTCCAAACTGCTGGATTCTCGAAATGCGATTTAAAAGTGCGCATTTTATTACAACAGTTTGATGGATGTCCATCAACATTGCAGCGGAATTTTGCAACAGTTTGATGGTTACTTCGATTCATGCGCATGATAAAATATTGGAATGAAAAACGCACCCTTACGCCCTTACTGTTTGGTGCGGATTTTGGTGCGGCGGCGTCATTGGTCCGTACTTCTTTGAAAATGACGTTGGCGAGGCCATCACCGTCAACGGCGAGCGCTTACAGGTCAATGATTAACAATTTCTTTTGGCCTGAATTGAACGATATGGACGTGGACGACATGTGGTTCCAACAAGACGGCGCAACGTGCCACACAGCGAACGACACAATGGACATTCTGCACGAACGGTTTGAGGGTAGGGTTATCTCTTGCAGAGGTGATGTGAACATAACGCAAGCCATTGCTCAGATTCAGCCGGATTTATGCAGCAGAGTCATTGAAAATTGGACCTCTCGGATCCGTGCCACCGTTCGAGGCCGCGGCGGACATTTGAACGATGTCATTTTCCATAAATAATGGCATAAATGGGCCTTTCAAATAAAATAAAGAAATCGTTAATATCTCACACACAGCTTGTTATATTCAATTACAACATCGACCGGTCCTTGTTGAAAGACCCTTTATTACAAGTGCGCCCCTCCAGTGGCAGAATTTTGAATCTACATAGGAAACTTCAAGATCAGTAACAACCAAAAGTAACGACACTTCAACACTTGCGCGAGATTGACGTGAGGATCGTGAACTGGAGATTGGTATTGAAACAGCTGACATGTATTGTTCTATTGCTCGTAGGATTATTTAAACTCTCCTATTAAAGGGCGAGTGTGAATGTTCTATTGAAATTAGAATAATAAAAATTGAAAATTCATAATGAAATCAAACCCTCATTTTAGTCCAAAGAACTTGGAATGTATTAGATCTTCAAATTTTCGTAGAGCTATCGTGTATCATTAACCAAAAAGTTCACAGCCGAACCCTAGGTCAGAAATACCAGAAGCATCAATAACTCATATTGGCATTATTGGCAGATATATCTGAGATCCTTTATCATAATGCTCGGCAGTCCATCGTTTTCGTAGTCATGAGAATATCTATTTCCTGTTAGTTATTTCATCAAAAATACTAAATATTTCTCATCAGTATATATGTCTCCACTTTTGTTAACGTACCACATATGCTATGGCTGCATTTCCTGTGGATTTTCTTAGTAATCTGCAGCTAATCTTGGTTACCTGTGAATAATTTGATCTCATTTCTGATATAATGAATAAAATAATCATAAATTGTCCGTAAGTTAAGTTAAGATGATGTCAGAAGTAGGATAACATGGTTATTTTTACAGGCCCGGATCGATACTATCAAGAAGGGATGGACTGAAAAAAATAGTGAAAGCGTGACAGTAGGGGAAATTTACCTAATGTTTGGTTCCAACTCCAAAGTGATTTTGGAATACAGCTGGGATAAGCCGTCCAAACCCAGTGGACCAAAAACCAGTTCAAATCACGTGAGTGTTGACACTGAGAAAGACACAGATTCCCTTGAAGATATTTGCAGTGATGAGGACACAAATACAGATATGAGTGATTCATTATCCAAATTACTATCTGTAGCGAAGCTGCACTACCGAAGTAATAAGATAAATTGCCCATGTGGACACGTATGTGGTGCTAAAAACAATTCACAACTCAAGAGAGCAGTAGAGTCCAAAATCAGAAAAATATTGACAGACATGGACAAATGCACGGATGAAATTGAAGACAAAATAATTCCCGAAGAAAACATGTTCGATAACGAAACATCATGTATGTCTCCTCCTGTTTATGTGAAACCAAAAGTTCCCATAGCTCCAGCTCCTCAGACTCACCAACCTACTGATACAGGGCGATTGGTGTCTCAGATTGATTCAATACAGAAATTACAACCCAGATATTGCAATCGAAGAGGAAGGAGACCTAGATTGAAGCAAGTTGTGGTAGAAAGAAAGTTACCATTATTGCCTAATAACCTAGAAAGTGGGCATCAGATTGTGAGGATGAATATAATATCCAAAGAATCTCAAACGCAAGTGGCTACAAATGAAAAAGAACAACCTTCTTCCAGCAATGATCATGTTTCAAGGAATGACATTCTTACAGAATCTATGAGAATCAGTGATATCAATTCGGAACCCACTAGTCCTTCTAGAATACTCAGAGAAGGAGACAATCAGTGGATCAATTCGGTGGTTGGTGACTATTCATTGAGCAGTCTACTAGGCCATTTGGAATCTCCCATGAAGTCTGTAAACTCCAATTTGCTGGGTGAGGACTCAAGGTTGTCATATGATGTCGGTTCACAGTTGCAGTCAATGTTAACACAAAGTAGTGTAGATTTTTCAGCAAATTTTGCTGATTTAGCAGCACAGGTTACCCAAAATGAAGATGGGAATACTTGAGAACGTCTGCTGTTTCTGACAGTAAGAAGAATTAGAGGTTCTTAAGTTAATTACAAATGGAATAAGATAAGGCTATAGAAATAATGTGGAAACCAAATTTTCTTTGAGCACAGCTGGTGCCATTTTCGAGGGCAAAAAGAATTAGCTATATTTGCAGAAATTAGGCACACTTTTTATGATCAATTCACTTGTTGATGCAATAATCTCAGCAGAAATATTTGTTAACAATGAGTGGAAAATGAAGCATTGGAAAGTATATCTTATTAACATCCATACTTGTTGGAGAGAAAACATTCATAGCATTAGCAATGTTATAAATATATATATGCCAACTATAGTTGAAATCTATGACTTTGTTTTAATCTAAACATCCTAATGTGAATTCCCAAGTGCTCAAATTTGAAAATAGGTTATTTTTATTATAACAACTGTCAAATAATTCGACGAAATCGCACCAAACTTGGTAGGCATTGATGAAAAACCATTCAGTACGTCCATAGGACGTTCGAATTTGGTACCGTAGATGTCCATTGGAGGTCTGTGGGACGCACAAATGTCCCACTTAAGGACCAACTAGGGACGTCCTTAAGGGATGTCCCTGGGACAACTATTGAATACCAAAATCCTAGAGTATTTCTCATCGAGCACTACGGAGAATATCTGTATGATAACCTATCATCAACGCTGTGGGATGTTAATTGGATGTCCATATATCCTAGGGACGTATGAATTATTCTTGAATTTGAATTTATTTGGGTTTCCCTAGTACCAGATCTTGCATAACTGATCGATGAGCACTTCCAGTTAATTTTCTCAAGGACCCGTATAGCACATGTACGTCCAATGAATGTCCAACGGATGTACAACATGGACATAATGAACGTCAATTGAACGTCCAGTCGTGTACATCAAAACGTCCAGAAAACGTCTACATCTCACTGGATTTAACATCATACGGACGTTCATTCAGGATGTTCAATGGACGTACATTCAGGATGTCTAATGGACGTACATTTAGGATGTTCAATGGACGTACATTCAGGATGTTCAATGGACGTACATTCAGGATGTCTAATCAACGTCTAATCAACTTATCAATGTCCAATGGACGTACATTCAGGATGTCCAATGGACTTACATTCAAGATGTTCAATGGACTTACATTCAAGATGTTCAAAGGACGTACATTCAGGATGGTCCAATGGACTTACGTATGTTCAATAGACGTACTCTGAAAGCAGTCAATGGATATCCGAACAAAGAATCCATAATCATATGAAATATCATTTATTACAAAACTATCTCTAAGCTACAGTGTAATATCAATCAATACAGATACAACAAAATTCGATAAAAATAAAACTTGAGAAATATAATAGGGATTTCCTTTCGTGCGATCCAAAGTTAAAAAACACTAGCATAACATTAAATTATTTACAAAGTACAAAATATATTCACAATAAAAATATAATTCATATCTCTTCAAAACACAAAAGCACTAGTATAACATTGAATTATTTACAAATCATGGACATCCTTGCTCGGACATTTTAATTTATGTACGGGTTGTGACGTCTCAAGGGCAATTATTTTAGGTCCGGGACATTCGCACTTGAATTGTAGTAAATATGGACGACGTCCCTAGAACGTTGCATGCTATTAGAGTTGTTCCGTTCAAAATTCAAAGGGGGGAGGGACTTTTTTCGTCCTGCATTGTATGTATATAATATATTATTGGGAATATTCAACAGAAAACCATAAAAGATAAAGTTGGCATAAATCAGGATGTCTAAACTCAGAAGTATCGAACCGTGTGAAAAAATGTAAAGTTTTCTATTTGAAAAATGAAAGTTGGTGCCGACTTGGTACACCCTCTATAGCTGGAGGACTAAAAATATTTCAGGTGCATTGGAAATGATTGATTATAACAACTTAGCAATTTTCAAGTTTCCAATCAAATTGCGAGTTGTGAAACTTTCTAATTTGTGGCCCCAGATAACACCAACCATCGGCCCAGCATTTGTAACGCATACACCTCTCCCGGCAGTTCCTGTACTTTCACGGCGTCGAGGTGGCTCAGACTGAGGAGTGGCACAGGTAGGTTTTCAAGATCTACCATTCAATTGGTATCGGATGGCATAATGATTCTTTTCTCGTTATCAAATCGCCAAATCTAGTGCAAATTTCCGCACAGGATAGTGCAATTTTTTCATCATTTTGCTCAGGATAGTGATTGGCACAGGTGCCGTTCGATGGACTACAACGTTTTTAGTTTCCATATACAGGGTGTTTCTTAAGTACGTGTAGAAAATTCAGGAGCATGTTGCTGACATCAAAATAAGAAGAAAAGTTTGTATGAATGTATGTCCGAAAGTTATTCGTTTCTGAAATACAGAGTGGCAAATTTGAATTCCTATTTTTATTTTTTGTTAATAAATTTCGAAATAATTGCGATATTGGAATAAAATTTGATATCTAGGGGTATTTGTCAATGACAGTATCAAATTGTATGTTAGTTTGTGTCTTTCGTGGGGGTGGCGCCACCTACATGTCTTTTGAGTCTTTTGAAAAGATAACTTTTGTGCGTACCTGTATTACGTTCCATAGTAGGAAAATAAATTTCTAGACACTTTTGTGTGAAAAATATAATCTTGGTAGAGGTCGCTGCGAGCAACTGTTTTCGAGTTATTGGGATTCAAAATAATCGAATAAGTATTAAATTGAAATAACACCCAATTCCTATTTTTTTAAATGAAATTGAAGAAAAATAATTTCCCGTACTTAATAAATCAATTTTGAATTCCAACTTCTTGTCATTCCAAATTACTTGCATTGATTATTTCAAATTCCAATAACTCGAAAACAGTTGCTCGCAGCGACCTCTACCGAGAATATATTTTTCACACAAAAGTGTTCTAGAAATCTATTTTCCTACTATAAAAGGTTATACAGGTACGCACAAAAAAGGTATGACTTTCAAAAACACTCAAAAGACATATAGGTGGCGCCACCCACACGAAAGAGACAAACTAACATCAAATTTGACATTGTCATTGAAAAATACCCCTAGATAAATTTCATTCCAATATCACAATTATTTTGAAATTTATTAACAAAAAACAAGAATAAGAATTCAACTTTGACACTCTGTATCTCAGAGACGGATAATTCTCGGCCATATGTTTTCACGAACTTTTCTTCTTATTTTGACGTCAGCAGCATGCTCCTGAATTTTCTACACCCTGTATATCATTTCGTTATCAGATGACGGTAGAAATCTGCAGCCGGATCTTCTACTATACCGGGTGGCTACGGAAGTATTGCCTATACGGAATATCTCAGTTATTGTATTATGAAGTAGGTTTGTGAAATTTGGAGCGACATGTCGAAGTTAACTTCCGGTCTGACCGGAAGTAACATCAACTTTCTTATTTTAAATGGAAACCCTATTTTTTTTCTTTTCGCTTTATTCAGCATGCAATTCCCTTTCTATAATGACATATCACAAGTTGGTATTGGTGGTTTTTGTTGGTTTTTACTCAAGTTCATGTGATTGAACGATATCAGGAAGAATATTCTGTGACGTTATTCAATATATTTTATTGACAACTAACTATCAAACATGACTTCATATACAATATGTTGTGAAAAGATAACACATTAGATAACATTTTCTAACACCCTCTCTTGATCTAATGGTTTCATTCACCATAATCTATTAGTCATTACTTAATTTTGCGTAATCCAAGTTCTTCCATGATTTTAGAATGTTTACAGCCATTAATACTCTTCGTGAAAATATCGGCTGTCATATCGTTTGTTGGTAAGTATTGTATTCGTATTTGATTATTCTCCACAGCTTCACGTATGAAATGATATCTTATATCTATAGGCTTTGGTTGTCATTAAATAGCGTTATTGACATGTCTTCATCCATTGTTAACAATTCGGAAAATAATCTTTGTAAGTATATTGCTTCCTTAATCCTTAGCTCCATCCGACATATAGCCATATACTCAGATTCTGTACTGGAAAGTGCAACTGTTCGCTGCTTCTTGCTCTCCCAAGAAATAGCTCCTCCAGCCAGAATAAAAACAAATCCAGTGTAAGATCTACGATCCAATGAATCTCCCCCCAATCTGCGTCAACATATCCTGTGATATTTTGTCCCGTTTTTCTATATTGTAAACAATATTCCCTCGTACCATTCAGATATCTCAGTACCCTTTTTGCATGTTTCCAATGTTCTAGAGTATACTGTGTGTTGAACTGACTGAGAAAACTGATGGCATACGCGATATCTGGTCTTGAACATACAGCCAGATACATTAGCGATCCAATTAAACATTGATATGGCACATCAGGCCTATTCTCATCATTTACAGTTCTATCGCATTTCAAATTCATCTCCATCGGCGTTCCAATCGGTTTACAGTCCGTCATACCAAATTTTCTTAAAATCTTGTCGATATATCTACTTTGGTCTAAATATATACTTCCCGATGTATCTCGATTAATCCTGATTCCCAAACACTCCTTCACGTCTCCCAAATCTTTAATTTTGAATTTAGACATCAATTCTTTCTTGAGAATATCCTTTTCCTTTTTATCATTACTGAATACAAGAAAATCATCCACGTACAAAGCTAAAATTACTATGCTTCCTTTTCCAATTTTCATGTATACACAAGCTTCAAATTTTGATCTTACATACCCTATTCCAATAAGAATGCTATTTACTTTCTTATTCCATGCCCTTGAAGATTGTTTGAGCCCATAAAGAGCCTTTTTCAGTAAACATACTTCATTTTTCTGTTGCTTGGATACAAAACCAATAGGCTGCTCCATGTAGACTTTTTCTTCAAGATCTCCATTCAAGAAAGCAGTTGTAACGTCCATATGATCAATTTCAAAATCATTTTCTACGGCTAGGGCCATCAACATTCTTATAGTAGAGTATCTAACGACTGGTGAGAAAGTTTCCTCATAATCCACTCCAT